TCCAAAACCAGTTCCTGGCCTACTCTTCTCCTACCCTCCCTCCTCTAGACACGGCCTCACATTCTGGAGCCCTAACTGGGTAGAACTCACAGGAGGTATAAAGTTGCAGGCGTGAGCCAACAACTCAGACTGAATGTTGTAGAATATTTAAGATGTGTTACCAGAGAAACTCTGTCTCGAAAAAAAAAAAAAAAAAAAAAGATGTGTTACATTTGTTTATGCTGTGGAATATTTGTTTAATGATGCAAAAATGTGTTGCATTCTTTTATGTTGCACTTGTTTAACCCTGTGAAGCTGTGTTACTTTGCCTGTGTAAAACACCTAAGGGTGTAATAAAGAGTTGAACAGCCAATGGCTAGGCAGGAGACAGGACTGGCGGGGCTGGCAGGCAGGGAAAATAAGTAGGAGAAATTTGGGAGAAGAAGAAAGAGCAAGATCAAGGAGCGGGAGAAAAGAAGGGGCCAGCCACAAAGTAGGAAGGAAAGATATACAGAAATAAAGGGAAAAGCCCAGAGGCAAAAGGTGGACAGGATAAGTTAAGAAAGGCTGGCTAGAAACAAGCCAAGCTAAGGCCGGATTTATAAGAATAAGCCTTGTGTGATTTATTTGGGAGCTGGGTGGCGGAAGGTGGGAGGTGGGGGGGAAGTGGCGGGGGGGGGGGGGGGGGGCAAAGAGCAAAGAGTAAAAAAGAACAGCAACACTAAAACTCACTACCCAGACTCGAACCTGTAGCAATCCTCCCACCTCTACTTTCCAAGTGCTAGGATTACAGACAGATGCCGCCATGTGTAGATACAACCATCTCTTGAAGTCACCCCTTTCCAGTTCTCAGGGACATCAGCAAACCACAGACCAAGGAAGGGATGGATGGAGCATGGGCACCACCTGTGCAGCCTCAGCTACCTCAAAGCCAAAGCACAGGGACGGCAAATGGGTCCAACCCCGCTCCAGGTGACAACCCCGCTCCAGGTGAGCACTACCAGCTTCCCAGAATATCATACTGATGACACAATGTGGATCAACACAACCTGGCTTGGTACAAAAACAAACTGTAACAGACTAGCAGAGTTGCATGGCCACCGAGCCCTTGAGATGTGACTTGTGGCTGTGGCACTGAATTTTATTTTAAGTAATTTGAACTTAAAACAAGCCAGGTGTGGTAGTGCATGCCTTTGATCTCTGCACTCTGGAGGCCCAAGCAGGCAGATCTCTGTGTTCTTGGCCAGCCTGGTCTACATAGTGAGTTACAGGCCAGCCAGGGCTACATAGAGAGACCCTACTTAAAAAACAAAACAAAAAACAGTCCTAAGGTATGGTGGGGTATGCCTTTAATACTAGCACTCAGGAGGCAGAGACAGGGAGATCTCTGAGTTCAAGGCCAGTTTGGTCTACATAAGTTTGGGCGACATAGTAAGTTTTTTTTTTTTTAACTAAATAGGAAAAAAAATTCACAGTTCTATGGTGGTCCTAACTAGACAAATAGTCTTTTATACTTCTCTTACTCCCAGAGCAAGTATCCCCAGAAACACAGGCAGCCTCAGTCCTGAGGATTAGCTTCTTGTCAAAGCCTATACTGCCAGACTCCAGAAAGCCCTACAGTCACACCTCAGCTCTAGCTCATGAAGGAGCCAGAGGTTTGTCTCGTGTCTCCTGTGGACAGAAGCCTGCCCAGAGTCAAAGTCCACAGGGGGTGGAACGTACTATTTAGGTGTCCACAAACTCACGATGCACAGGAAGACAGAGAGGAAGAAAATGCATGCCAACCAGGCACTATCTGGACCTAACATAGAGGCCCTAGCCCCTACAGAGCCCAGAGGAGGGGTGTTCAGGACCCCTCCCTCAGCATAGAAGGGCAGATGAGAAAAGAAAATAGAAACAGAGCATTTACCTGTTGTGGACTTTTAGGTAGTATTTGCTGAGGAACTTTTTATGGCACGTGGGACATTCAACCGGCACCGCTGCACCCCTCCGACCTTCACTGGGCTCGGCTGCTGGGGAACCTGCGCCCAGGGCTGGCTCGGCAGCACAGGGTTTTTGGACCACTTTGGACTTCCTCCTGGTCAGCACAGTCTCAGGCTCAGAAACGGAATCACCATCCCCGTCGTCCTCAACTTGAACCACCACTTCCCACTAGAGTAGAGGAGGCAGCAGAGGGGTAGGGTCATCAAAGGACCAGCAGTAGCTTGAGGGACCCAGCTTTAGTTCCAACCCAAGCCCTGTCCCAGATGGTCCCCTTTCTTCGGGGGCCCAAGAAAGACCACATGTAAATCTTGGAGTCGGAGGAAAGGGTCTGTTGACGTGGGAGCTGGCTAGGTCTCACTCCCTAGGGAGACACCTGTGACCCTCATGCTCACCCCACCCCTAGGAAGCTGGCAACCATGGCTAAGTGTAGCTCCTAGAGAGGTCACCTGAGGCCAGTGGCTTCCTATGTTTAACTCCAGAAGTGCCTGTCTTTACCCTTAAGCTTGCCTCCCCAGTTTCTACACCCTGGCAGCAGTACCTCATTGCTCTCGCCCTGCAACGGGGCACTTCCAGCCTCGAAGGGCCTTGGAGGCTCTTTGCAGTCCTCAGACTCCTTGTCCTCTGAGGGACAAGGCTTCAGAGCCTGCTTGAGTTTCCCACAGAGGAAGGAGGGGCTGCTCTGAGCAGGGGGATTGAGCTGGGACTGCTGACTGTCTCTGGACTCCTGATCCCCGGGGGCCAGGCTCAGAGTCCTGAAAACTTCCTCCTCGTCCAAGTCTGTTGGCTCCTTGAGGTGGCTTTTCACATCCTGGGAGGCAGGTTGCCCCAGTCCACTCTGGACACTTGGTGCCTGTCCCACTGAGGTTCTGGGCTGGAAGCTCTGACAGAGCTCCACAGCCTCTGGCACCCGCAACTCCTTGGCTGCCAAGAGCACCTGATCCCTGTTCCCTGAGGTGAGGGCCAGGTGACCAGTGTAGAAGAAGTCCAGCAGGAGGCCAAAAATCTCAGCAAAACCTGCAGGAAGGACAACGCTGCCTCCTGAGCCGTCCCCATAGATTCTCTGGAAGAAATGGCTGCAACAAGCCAGGACACTCCAGTGTGCCTTGAACACCAGGCCCCCCACGTCCAGAGTGGCGTCGCAATATTGGCCTTTCTCCCGCTGCTTGTTGAGTTCCTGCAGAACCCTCACGCTGTGCTGTACGAAGGAACCGTCCATAATCTGGAAAGGAAGGTAAACATGACACTCTGGCCAGCCCAACAGAGAAAGCCCTTAGACTGTAGCGAGTTGGACCTGTTAACAGCCACCTATGCCGGGATGAAGGCTTGGGTCAAGGTTAGAAGGTGCACGCGGAGCACAGCCAGAGTGGAGTGACAGCCCCTCATGGGCGGGGAGTGGCATGGGTTGGCCAGAAGGGAGAGAGCCTCCGGAGTCGGAAAGCATGATGCAGGACAGGGCAGGACAGGGTCAGAGTAGGGTTGCGAGTGAGAAAATATGAAAATGCAAATTTGGGGACAGACAAGAGAGAACGCGAACTGATCCGCCACGCACCCGAGGCACAGCCAGTAGGGCAGGCCGGCGGCTGCGCACAGGTGACCCAAGCCCACGCCGCGCTTGCAAGTCGCAAGCGGAAGGCGGCGGCCACACTCTCGTCAGCGCCTGGGGCGGCTCGCAGCTTCCCTCCCGCACCCTCCTCACCCGGCCGGTCCTCTCGGCTCACACCGGCTTCACTGCTCCGGGATAGTCCACTTCCACCGCCCACAAGACTTAACTCCGGCCCGGCCCCCTGCGCAGAGACGCCGCCGTCCCCACGCCGGATGTGACGTTGGGGCGCGCTGGGCAGAGCCGGACGCCTTGGAAGCTTAGGACTCATAAGGCGGAGCCTCAGAGGAAGACCAATGGGCCGCGCAGGGGGCGGGGCCAGACCTGAATCCTACAGCGCTGGGTCTCATTACCGGAGTCGCCTAGCAACATCAAACGAGGCGCTAGGCTCCAGCTCCAGCTAATTGATGTGTGGTCCCAAGCTCCCCACGGATCGGAAGCGCAGCCAAGAAGCCATACGCACAATTCACGTCTTTATTAGGCTGGATTCTTCTGTGCACTTATACATCGAAAGCCATGGCTGAGCTCTCCAAGACACCTCAGACCCTCCGCCCTGCTGGATCTACCACCTTCAAGACAAAAGAGGCTTCCGGTCTGCCCCGCCCTAAAAGTCCCCGCGGATCAGGTAGAGCCTCTACGCCTCGTGTAGTCCAGAATTGAGGCCTGAAAGTGTTCTGTATTGTTGAGGTCCGGTCGGCAGAGAATCACATAGCACTTGGGGAGGAAGTAACCGCTGAAGCCGCCACTCAGAGTGGTCAGCCCCGCCATCACATAGACTGCGGGCAAGTAGCTGCCCTGGTAAATACTGGTCATGGTGAAGAAGGCGATCCAGGATACGAAGTTGAGGAGCAGGCTGAACGTGACACATTTGGCTTCGTTATAGTTCTCTGGCAGTTCCTTACCCAGGTAGCTGCAGGCGAAGGTGCTGATGGAGAGGAGGATATTGTGGGTGAACGCCAGCAGGAAGCCCACAGAGTTGACCTCTGTGCACTCAAGAATCACCAGATGGGGGAAGAGCTGGTATTCCTTGGTGGGCAGTGGAGTCCACATTGCAAGCCACATGAGACAGATGAGCAAGTGGACCGTGGAGCTCACAATGACAAACAGACTGGCACCATGGTTTTGGGCCCAAGTGTGGTAGAATGTGGGTACCTTGGTGGAAAACTTGAAGATGATGACCAGTTGGAAGGAGCGGATTGTCAGACAGGAGAGGAAGATGGCAAAACCGAGAGAAAAGAGGGGCTGGCGCAGTAAACATGTGGGCACCGTGGGCTCCCCGAAGAAGCCGTAGAAGCTGCAACACCCTGCAGCCAGGGAACCCAGCATGAGGAAGCACAGCCTGCCCCCAGCTGACCTCACAACAGGCGTGTGAAGATGCCTTGCAAACAGGCCAGTGGTCCCAAACAGCAGCAGCAGCAACAGCGTGTTAGCTGTTAATAGCACCAGAGAGATGGGGTCATGCCAAGCCAAGAACACCACGGTGCGTGAGAAGCAAGTGGTGCTTCCCTCAGGTGCCCATTCCTCTTTTCCACAAGGCTGGCAGATGTGAAGATCTGAAAGTAAAGATAAGGTTTCTGAGAGCCAGGTAAGCAGAAGGAAGGGGAGGAGCGGGGAACGGGGTCCAGGTCATTCAGGCCTGGGAGATGCTGGGAAAGTTGCGCCTTGGCAGGCAGGTTTTGGAGCCATAGTGAGAGGGGAGCCTAGAACAGCCACAGGCTAAGCACATCCTCAAAAGGTCTGTGTTTTGTATGGCTCTGGATTCCAAAGGTGGTTTGCAAACACAGAAAGCTTTGTGATTTTGTCAGAGCACCTAGCCTCTCCCGTCAGCATTTCCATTAACCAGATCCACCTGCTGAGCTAGGTATCTCCTAGATACCTGAGTCCTGACTCTCCCTTCACCACAGAGATAGTCAAAGGAGAGAATGGTGTCCACGCTCTGAGCCGAGTCAAAGGTCCCTGCTGTGCTCTCTGCCCTCCACTTTTAGTCACTGAATGGAGCACACGGGCTTCCTTCTGCTGCAGACAAGCCAGTACCTACCTTTAATCCACCATTCAGGTGCAGAATTCTTGGCACAATCAAGGGGCTTCATACAAACAGAACAGCACAAAAGAGCTACATCTCTTTGGATAAAGAGGTTGTATTTAGGACCAGATTCATCTGTGGAAGCTGGGGGTGGGGAGTTCTCTAACGGAGGACACACCCCAGTCTGAATTCAGCCTAGTGGCAAGTGTTCTCCAACCTGTATCCGACTGGCATAAACTGGAGCCCTGGTTCTAGGGCCCTTGGGTGCTGGATCGATCACCTACTCACTGCTCACTCACCACTCTTGTTGAGAAAGGTCCCAGCCTCACAGGGCATGCACTCGAAGCAACAGTGGTGGGAACCCACAACCACTCTGTGGTGCCCCTCGAGACAGTCGCTGGAACACACAGATGTAGGTGCCTGTAAGAAGCCACAGTGGTTTGCAGTCACATAGAGGAGCCCCAGTCAAGGGACAGCTCACATGTGGCACAGAAAAGAGATCTCTGCATTTCTGCAGTCCCTGGCAGGCCTGAGCAGAGCTAAGGTGGCCTAACATCTGGCACCTCCTTCCTGCTCTGGGTAGGCATCATTCCCCAGGCTCCTGGTAACATAAAGCAGTCACCTGGTGACTGACCATGTCCGCGTTACCTGATTGTTCTTCCCATGCCACTGGATTTTCGTCTTATTTATGTCTAGCTGAACTGGAGACAATGAGGCAGAGCCAATGACCTCGAAGGTCCATTCAGGCCCATTCCAGTCCCAGGCGATGATGTTATAGTCACCTAGAGGATCCCCGCTGTCATCGAATGCCACAGTATCCTTATGTAGAAGGAAATTCACCTTGTAGATCTGCTGCAGAAGCTGGGACAGACAGATGTCATGAAGTGCCATAGACCACACAGACCCAGGCAGCCCAGGAAGCAAGCAGGGGCTCTCCTGTGTTTCTGTCCTGGGTGGTCCCAACCCATCTATAAGGCCTGGTTCCTTCCTCAGCAATCTGTTCTCACTTTTTCTAGGAACCCCTTGACCCCTGACCAGCCTCCTGAGAGACCTCTAATAAAGGACTCTTTTTGCGGACGTTTTTGGCCTTTGACATCTCTGGGGCATAGTGGGTGGAAGAAGACAAGACTCAGGGAGGAGAACAATTTATCTAAGAGAAGACCCCAATTCACTGTCTCCTCAGATCATCCATGTTACCCACACTGCATGGTTTGGATGTCCTGGATGCAGACACCCTGGCTGGAATTGCTTACCTGCCAGGGGTAGACTGGGCCCCTAGAACAGGTCTCAGAGGTACATCCCAGGAGCTGATGGAGGCCGTGGGCCACAGCATACACAGCCTGGTACACATTGTAGGCAGCACTCATGGAAAAGGCTCCAAGCATGGGTATGCTCTGTGTTGTGAAAGCATGACATTCTCGGCACAGCTGGTTAGTGCTGCACCAGGAGCCCTCTGGGCAAGACCTGGGGGCACCCTTTAGTGCCCTGACATAAGACTCTTCAAACTCCTTCAAGCCAGGAACAAGTCTCTGCCGGATGGCCACACCCAGCACTGTCCCAATGCCCTGGATCCCAGGCACATTGGTGATGTACGTGGAGATGGCCCAGTCTTCTGAGGCAATCCACACCTTGCCAGTCAGGTTGGCCAGCACCACAGACCTGAAGAACACTCCAGCCAGGTGCCGGTTAGAGAAAACCACAATCACAGTGGTCCTGGCTAGAGCCAAGTGGCGCATCATCTGCTGCATTCTCAGGTCATTCGCTTGGGCAGAAAAAGGCACAATATCCTTGAAGGCAATGCAAATGCCCTGTGGGGTGGCCAGTTCCTCCAGCGCCTGCACACCCAGCTGCCCATAATCACCATAGCTGCCAATGAGTGAGATCCAGACCCACCCAAAACTCCGCAGCAGCAGCACCATGACCTCCACCTGGTACTTATCACTAGGGATGGTACGAAGAAAAGACGGGTACTGACGCTTTTCACTGAGCATCACACTGCTGGCCTCGTAGCTGATCTGTGGGGAGGGTTCCAGTGTGGTCAGCACCACCAACCTTGACTGAAGCCTGCCCTCCCCACAGTCCCCACCCAGAGTAGGGAGTATGCAAACTAAGTATGGCTCCTCTGGGGAGTTCCAGGAGGTGTAGGGATCGAGACCAAGTGAAAGGACCATGTCATTTAAACATGGAACAAACCGTGCTTTCTTAGCCTCAGGTCCTTGGCGTGAGCAGGACAGGGCAGGAGACCTGAACACTCAAGCTGAGGGGCTCACTTCTGTCCTGCACACTGTGGGGACCTCCTGAGGTTCCCCCTGAGAAATGACATGTTCAGACTCAAGTCTGCGGAGTATACCTCTAGTCAAGTGACAGTGCTGGAAAGCCTGGACCAGGGCTGATGGAATCATCTATGTGAGGGATGGTGGGGCTCTGTAAAAGGTGAAAATTTAACCAGGTGTGGCTGCTAATCCCAGCGGTTAGGTGGGAGGATCTACCTAGACAGTAACACAAGTATAGGGCCAACCTGGGCTACAAGAGACCCTGTCTCAAAAAGTCAAAAGAAAAACGATGGAAGATAGGTTCTGAAGGAAAACTAGATTTTGATTTTTTTTTTTTTTTTTTTTTTTTGGTTTTTCGAGACAGGGTTTCTCTGTGTAGCTTTGCGCCTGTCCTGGAACTCACTTGGTAGCCCAGGCTGGCCTCGAACTCACAGAGATCCGCCTGGCTCTGCCTCCCGAGTGCTGGGATTAAAGGCGTGCGCCACCACCGCCCGGCTGGAAAACTAGATTTTAATGGTGATGGTCTGAAAACTGTCAGTAAAAAGCTGGGTGGGTCGTGTGGGCCATGGTGAGGCCGGCCACTGCTGGGGACTCCAGGCGAGGAGTACATGCTCAGAAATCAGAATGCATGGTCTCTATGGCCTGGAACAGGAGGGAAGAGGAGACCAGGGAAATAGCAGCTTCCCCAGAGGCAGGAGGCAAAAGGACCCTCTCCAGAAAGCGAGAGAGAGGAGCTGAAAGTAAAGGTGGGGTGGGGTGGGGAGTAAATGTGAAGGATGGTGCCATACAGGGAACGGTCAGACATGTCACACGGAAGCCATGTAGGGTAAGGGCTGAAAAGTGCTCTTTGGATTTGGAGCTCTAGAAGGTACTCTTGCTGCAGCTGGATTAATTGAGGACAGAATCTAAGACTGAGGCACAATGGAAGGGTGAAAAAGCTAGACTAGAGAGCTCTAAGAAGTTCAATGACCAGGGGCAGGAAGAGCCAGGTCCATGAGGACAGGGGACCTGCTCAGACAGACTGCTGAGCACAGCAGAGGCCAGGCATAGGGCAGGAGAGGACCACCATGGAACAAGGAAGAAGAGAGGCATGCCCCCAGGGGACACAGTGTCTGGGGTGGGAACTAAGGCTTTGGGGGCAGCAAAGGCAATGGAGCCTTTGGATGGAGAGAAGGCACAGAGAGTGAGCAGCTGGCTGGCTACACTTTCCAAAGGAGGACAGGGAACTGGGTGTGCTGGTGCACACCACTAATTCCAGCAGTCAGAGGCAAAGGTAGGCAGATCTCTGAGTTCAAGGCCAGCCTGGTCCACAGAGTGAGTTCCAGGACAGCCAGTGTTACACAGTGAGACCCCGTGTCAAACCAAACAAAAAAACAAAAATCAAAGGAAGGACAGGGTTTCCTCGTGATGGCTGAGGCAGGAAGGCTGGAAGCAGCTCCCATTGCCCTCTACCCCAGACTTACAGATGGGGATCCCCAAGGCTTGGCTTACCAGGGGCATCAGAAAGGGGCCCAGCAGGGCAGCAGTAGTGACAGCGTGGTCAGTGTTGTCAGGACCAATAAGTGCCACCACCTTGGAGGAATAGTTGTGAAGATCTCTCTGCATCTCTATGTGGTCAGTCCCCTGCTGGGCAAGCACCCTCAGTGTGGCATACACATTGGCAGACTCTGAGCACACATCATACAGCTCATATCCCAGGGAGATGTTGGGAAGCAAGGCTGTGGAATTATTTATCTCCTCAATGCTGAAACGCATGGCCTGGAAGAGGTGGTAGCCATGGCCATTGAAGCTGCCAGGTCTGTAGGGAAAAGAGCCCAGGGAGAACAGGAAAGGCTGAGCCGTGTCACTTCCTGCACCCTAGGCTTTGGGGGCAGAAAGGAACACTGAGGTTGCCTGTCCAAGCCAACACCACCTGAAACACCTTGGCTCAGGTCCTCAGAATTGAGACTATCTATCACACAATGCAAAGTGTCTTTCTTGTGTGTACTAAGTTTTCTTCTCTCCCAGGAGCATGGTGGTTTAATAAAGGAAAACAAAGACCTTCCCTTCTCATCTGCTGCCGTCCTGTAGCACATAAGCATCAGATCAGCATCTCTTTAGATTGGACTATACAGGAATGCTTGATTACCTAAATACCTGTGTGAGTTGCTGACTTTAGTTTTCTAATGAATTGTTCAATGATTTTTGGCTTGGCATTAGGATAGAATTTCCAATAACCTCAGAAATGGCCCTAAGCATACTTTTGCTATTTATACTATATATTTGAAGTAGTGTTCTCAACAATCAACATATCAATTCTAAAAAAAAAAAAAAAAAAAAAAATTGTGTCCAGACGTGCCCAATACTCAGCGGAGATTTAATTTTTATTTTTTTATTTTTATTTTGTGTCCATTGGTGTTTCACCTGCACATATGTCTCTGTGAGGGTGTCAGGTTCCCTGGAACTGGAGTTGTGAGCCTCCATGTGGGTGCTGGAAATTGAACTCAGAACCTCTGGAAGAGCAGTTAGTGTTCTTAACCATTGAGCCATCTTTCCAGCGCCCCAGCTGAGATTTCTTTATGTAAAAGTAAACAAGTAGATTCATCTCATTACTATTAGTCTGTCTATCTTCTATCTTTCTTTCCTTCTTTCTTCCCCCCCTTTTTTTTTTTCAAAGTAGGGTTTCTCTATGTAGCCCTGGCTGTCCTAGAACTCACTCTGTAGACCAGGCTGGCCTGGAACTCACAGAGATCCGCCTGTCTCTGCCTCCCGAGTGCTGGGATTAAAGGCATGGGCCCCCATGCCCAAATGTATACTTATTTTGTATACCTAAAGTCATATTAAAAATTCTCAGGAGGAGCTGGGCGGTGGTGGCGCACGCCTTTAATCCCAGCACTCGGGAGGCAGAGCCAGGCGGATCTCTGTGAGTTCGAGGCCAGCCTGGGCTACCAAGTGAGTTCCAGGAGAGGCGCAAAGCTACACAGAGAAACCCTGTCTCGAAAAACCAAAAAAAAAAAAAAAAAAAAAAAAAAAAATTCTCAGGAGGAGCTGGAGAGATGGCTCACAGTTAAAATCATTGGCTGCTCTCCCAGAGGTCCAGCACTCACATGGCAGCTCACAACTATCTGTAACCCCAGTTCCAGAGGATCTGATGCCCTCTTTTGGCCTCTGTGGGCACCAGGCATGTACATGGTACCCAGATGTATTTGTAGGCAAAATACCCACAAATATAAAAAAATAGTTGGATGGTGGTGGTTCACACCTTTAATCCTAGCATTTGGGAGGCAGAGGCACGTGGTTCTCTGAGTTCAAGGCCAGCCTGGTCTACAGAGCGAGTTCCAAGACAGCCAGGACTACACAGAGAGACCTTGTCTCAAAGAACCAAAATAAATGGATAAATAAATAAATGATAAAATAAATCTTTAAAAACATTTTCCAAGTTAAAAAAATGCCATAAATGCAAAAAATTAAGAAGCCCTGCCCTAAAGAAACAGGGTTAACACATATACACACACATCCACTCAAATACACACTCAAGCACACACACAAGCATGCACACAAGGAGATTTACATTAAGGAACTGGCTCACATGACTGTGGGAGTTATTCAGTTCAAAACTTGTAGAGCTAGTCAGTAGACTAGACAGCTGAATCTGAGGACAGATGGGGACTGTAGTCCTGAATCTGAGGGCGGCGTCTCTTTGCTCTCCAGGACCTCAGTCTTCTCTCTGGGGCCTTAAATGGATTGTATGAGGCCCACTTACTGTTGATGGACAACCTGTTTTATTCAGTCTATTGATTTAAATGTTAATCAGTCAAAAACATACTTTTACAGTAAGATCTAGACTGATGTTTGAGCCAACAACTCTAGGCACCGTCCCTTGGACCAACTGAGTGTACTATTACATTACACCTGCCTCACAGGGCTCAACCTCAGCTGAGAGTTCTCTGCTTTGGCAGCTACTCTCAACAGGGACATGACGCTGAGGTCAACCCTGCTGCATGTCCCACTCTCTAGCTTTCTGCCTTCTAGAAGATTCCCCCATTCCTTCCATCGTTCCTGTCCCCAGTGTACTGAGAGGTACAATACCTCTTGAACACAGAGTCCTTCAGTTTTACGAAGCCAGTTTTCTTGTGTCCTTCTCAAAACCTGTCTTCCAAGCCTAAGTTTCCTCTCCCCAGCCTCCTATTTGCAGCTCTTTGGCCTAGTCCTCACAGGCCAGGGCTTCCAGAACCTTATTTCCTGGCCAACAGTCAGGTAGTCCTCATGTGCAGAATATCTCACAGCTTGTTGTGAGAGCACTCTGGACCTCCCTCCCAACACAATACTTGGGCATAAACTGTTAGCAGCCATATTTGAAAGGAAACCCATGGGGAATCCCATTTGCCAGCTGCAGAAAAGCCAGAAGACTTGAATGGAGTTACAACCCACTCTAACAGCAAAAACAAAGGAACATATTGCAGTATAAATAATAATATACAGAACAAAATTAAACATTGCAATATAAATAAATAGTAGCATCCTAAAGTAGAAACTGATGGACTTGTTCAGCTACCAGCTTGAAATTAGTCCTTACAGATTAGTGGGGGAGGACTGGGGACAAAGGTAAGCAGAGGAGCCCTTGTGTCCCTCTGAGTGAGAGTCAGTCTCTCTCTCTCCCTCCCCCCACCTCTCTCTCTGACAGGGTTTTTAGCCTAGAACTCACTATGTAGCTGAGGATGACCTTGAACTTCTGATCCTTTGGCCTCTACCTCCCCAGTACAGGGATTATAGGTAATACATGCACCAGCCACCAAGTCTAGCTGGTGTGGTGCTGGAGATTAAGCCCAGGGCCTCTTGTACTCTAGGCAAGCTCCAAACTGATCAAACTATATCCCCAACCCACTAAGTGACAACCCTGCTGGCTCTTACCTGTCACAACGTGTCACCTGGGGTCTGTGTCTCACCTGGAGACAGTCGGCATGGAGAGCAAACAGGCCTGCAAGGAGGTAATCCCCTGGGAGGCTGAAGCCAGGAGAGGACTCTGTCTTGTAGCAGCTGAAGGCCCAGCAATAAACAATGGGGAGCTGCAGGCTGACCAGGGAAGCTGCCCAGGAAAACATGCTGGCCAGATGCCACTTTGCCCAGCATGGCTGAGCACACTTCTGACAATGCTGGCTGCTTAAATACAGTGAGTGACAATGCTCAGATGCTCCTAACTTCAGGGCCCTGGGAGGGGTGGGACTGGAGTCCTGCTGTAGAAAGGCGGTTGGCTTTCCGGCTGTGGTCTCTGTCAGGAACTGGGCAGGGCCAGGACATGGATGCAAACCAGGTGGCCCCCTGAGACCCCTCCCCTGGACGGTTGTGGTTTCTGTCCTTGCCCTGGTGTTCTTGACTTCACCTGGCTGGGGAAGGGAGCCCTGACATTTTTCAGGGAGGAGAGGAAAGACCCAGACACTGAAGGTCAGGGGTACTATCAGGGAGCTGATGGCTTTCTTGTTTTTTGTTTGTTTGTTTGTTTTTGAGATGGTCTCTTGCTCTGCTGTCCAGGCTGGCTTTGAAGTCCTGGGCTGAAGCCATCCCCCTACCGATGTCACAGGAGGAACTTAAAATACTGCTGGTTGTACCAGTGCCTCCAGAGAGTTACAGAACTTAGTAAACCCCATTAAGTAAGCCTGAGACTAGGCTTTGAGTTGACACCTGCCGGCCCTAGTATTCAGATATTCAAAGTGTTTAACCTTGTTATCCAGGATTGCTCCCATCAGCCAGAAGTCAAATATATGCAAACCTAGCCTATACAAATGGACCGAATTTGTTTTAAATGCCAATCCTGGATTTTTTTTTTTTTTCTGCAGGAAGAAAAAGAAATCCCAGGTGGATTTCCTGAGAGGTGGCCTTGTGGTTAAATACAGGGGCTTTGGCGCCCCCTCTTCACGAAGAGGGCGAGGGTGGGGTTTTGCATAATGTAAATAGGGCCCTGGGTGTGATTGCAAAGCTTCTCAAACAACCTGAGCCTAGACCGGGAGGGCTGAAGTTCTTAATGTGCTGCAGAGGCCGGCCGGGAGAGGGCGCCAGCAGCTCTTCACGTCTTACTCTGGGGGCGGGGCGACGTAATCTCGCGAGATTGGCACGTCGGGGGCGTTCCGGGCCAAGCATGGCGGACTCAGAGGTGCTGCTCAGGCGGGTTCCGAGCCGCTCCTCTTGGCAGCGGGTTCGCAAGGCCCGGCCCCACCTCCTCCTCAGTCGTCGGGGCCGTCGCCGGTTTGGGGTCCTGACCCGGGGCGAGCTGCGGCGCCTGCGACGGCGGCTGCTGCGGGCCCACGCCTTGGGCGGGGACTGGAAGGTGGGTGTCACCGCGGGCTCGCACGTGGCAGGAAAGTGCAAGGTCCGGACCCGCAGCCGGCCCACGCCGGGCAGTCTGCCCACGCCCCGCAACCAGCCCGCGCCCCGCAGCCAGCCCACGCCACGCAGCCAGCCTGCGCCCCGCAACCAGCCCGCGCCCCGCAGCCAGCCCGCGCGCCGTGTCCAAACCCTGTCATCGAACGTCACCCAACCCACGCGGGACTTAGGCTCGGGCCGTGTGTTGTTGCTGCTGCCAGCCGGGGAGGTGAGTCGCCTGCGGGGAGCTTCTGGTCCCCGCCCCTTGTCCTCCGGATGCAGATCGTATGCAAGTCCATCCTCCTCCTCGGGAATCTGTAGGCCTGTTGGCTATGCTATACTAGCAAATTAATGGGTCGGATTTATTGGGCACGTAGCTGCTAGCGTTCGAGGAGGTGTTTCAAACTATTTAGCACTCCCAGGTCTCACGGGAACGACGGTTGCCATCTCTTTCTTGTGTTTATGGACTGAAAAACAAGGTAGGTAACTTGCACGAAGTTAGTCAGTAGCGAGGCAAATAAATCCAAGAGTTAAGCCCAGGCGGTCTGACGTGGACCCTGGTTAGGGAGATCGCCCCTCTTATGCCGGGAAGGAGTGAGGCCTCAGAAATCGGAGACGAGCATGCTGTCTGTGCGCCTTTGTAAGCACAGGGTGGTAGAGTTTGTGAGTATCTTGGGAGCTGCAATGGGGTTATGATGTTTAGGGTTAAGTTAAAAGCCTGACAGTTGGTCACTTAGTGTAGCTTTGTTTTGGCTTTTTTTTATGTGTCTGAGTGTTTTGCCTGCATTTCGGTACGCCATGTGCGTGCAGTGCCTGCAGAGGCCGTAAGAGGGCGTCGGACCCTCTGAACCGAGTTAAAGGAGGTTGTGAGCCACTGTATGGGTGTTGGGGCCCAAACATGGGTTCCCTGGTGGAGCCGCCAGTGCTTTTTTTTTTTTTTCGTTTTTCTTTATTAAGAAATTTTCTACTCCACATACCACCCACAGATCCCCCCTCCTCACTCCCCCCCCCCAGCCCTCTCTCCCAAGCCACCCCGCATCCCCACATCCTCCCAAATCAAGGTCTCCCATGGGGAGTCAGCCGAGCCCAGCACACTGAGCCTAGGCAGGTCTAAGCCCCTTCCCACTGCACCAAGGCTGTGCAAGGCGTCACACCACAGGCACCGGATTCCCAAAAGCCTGCCCATGCACCAGAGACAGATCCCAATCCCCCTGCCTGGGTGCCCCCCGAACAGTTCGAGCTAAACAACCGTCTTCCGTATCCATAGGGCCTAGTCCAGTCCCATGGGGGCTCCACAGCCACCAGTCCACAGTTCATTCAATTAGCCACCTTTGCAGCACCAGAGCTCTGTAGTTTGATACATACACATGGATTTTCTCACCAGTCACTCTGAATGTGGGGATGGTTGGCTCTCCATGAGAAGATCAGCCTGCGGGCAGTGGTGGCACACGCCTTTAATCCCAGCACTCGGGAGACAGAGCCAGGCGGATCTTTGTGAGTTCGAGGCCAGCCTGGTCTACAGAGGAAGATCCAGGAAAGGTGCAAAACTACACAGAGAAACCCTGTCTCGAAAAAAAAAAAAAAAAAAAAAGAAAGAAAAAAAAAAAGAGAAGATCAGCCTGGTCTACCTAGTCAGTTCTAGGACAGCCTTGGCTCCATCATGAGGCCCTGTCTCAAGCAAAAAAAAAAAAAAAAAAAAAAAAAAAAAATCATTTTGATCAGTGAAAAGCAAGTTAAGATTTTCCAGTTTTTCTGTCATTGGTAACGGTATCCATAATGTTCTGTTTTTCTCGCTCCCTGCCAGGGCTTTACTTTTAGTGGGATCTGCCGGGTGACTTGCATCTATGGCCAGGTGGAAATATATGGCCATATCGTCAAACAGGGCCAGCCTGCCCGAGATGTCTTCTCTGCCTATACCCACTCTTACCTGACCATCAGTGGGGTTCGGTACTCAGAACCTGAGAAGAGTGAGAAGGAGATGAGAAGAGAGCTGCGGACTCTGCTCAAGCCTCACATGAAACTGGGTAATTGGCTTCAGCCTCCTACATCAAGGCTGGGGCTTTCAAGTGCTTGTTACGTTCTGGTCTCCGGACTCTGTTGAATCCTCACAGAGGTCTTGAGTATTAAAATGCTATTATTTCCACCGTTTTACAACAGACGTTTTCTGTGACCATGAAGCTAGTAGGCAGCAGTCTTGGGTTGTGGTGTCTCCACCCAGACGTGGAAAAATGAGCTCTACTGTGTGCTACTCTCCACAAGTCTGTGGTTGAGATGACAACCCTCGGGATCTAAATGGGTTACTTTTTCTGAGGTCGTTCTTCTTCTCTTTGCAGATGACAGAAACTGGGTAGTCCAGTATTTCCCTCCTCTGGGCTCCATTCTGCTGCTCGAGCAGCTGAGGACCCCCGCTGTGGACTTCATGAGCTCCTATAAGTGTGCATCTTACGTCTTCCTGCAGGAGGTAAAGCCAGCACTCGCTTAGATGCGCCGATCCCTTGCACCAGCGCAGTCAGCTGAATGACCGTGTAGGGAGCGCTTTCAGAATGACCGTCCTCTCGGTCTTGGGAGTAGGGTAGGTGTTATGGGGTGCCACCTCAGGGTTTCATCAGGTAGGAGATAGTCTCTATAGAAAGGTGTTATGGGGTGCCACCTCGAGGTTTTATCAGTTAGGAGAGTCTATAGAAAGGTGTTACGGGGTACCACCTCGGGGTTTCATCAGGTAGGAGAGTCTCTATAGAAAGGTGTTACGGGGTACCACCTCGGGGTTTCATCAGTTAGGAGAGTCTATAGAAAGGTGTTACGGGGTACCACCTCAGGGTTTCATCAGTTAGAAGAGTCTACAGAAAGGTGTTACGGGGTACCACTTCGGGGTTTCATCAGTTAGGAGAGTCTCTATAGAAAGGTGTTACGGGGTACCACCTCAGGGTTTCATCAGTTAGAAGAGTCTATAGAAAGGTGTTACGGGGTACCACCTCGGGGTTTCATCAGTTAGGAGAGTCTATAGAAAGGTGTTATGGGGTGCCACCTCGGGGTTTCATCAGTTAGGAGAGTCTCTATAGAAAGGTGTTACGGGGTACCACCTCGGGGTTTCATCAGTTAGGAGAGTCTCTATAGAAAGGTGTTACGGCGCCGGGCGGTGGTGGCGCACGCCTTTAATCCCAGCACTCGGGAGGCAGAGGCAGGCGGATCTCTGTGAGTTCAAGGCCAGCCTGGTCTCCAAAGCGAGTTCCAGGAACGGCGCAAAGCTACACAGAGAAACCCTGTCTCGAAAAACCAAAAAAAAAAAAAAAAAAAAAAAGGTGTTACGGGGTACCACCTCGGGGTTTCATCAGTTAGGAGAGTCTATAGAAAGGTGTTATGGGGTGCCACCTCGGGGTTTCATCAGTTAGGAGAGTCTATGGAAAGGTGTGTGTGTCATGGGTAAAGGCACCTGCTGAACAAGCTTGATGGTTAGGGTTCCATCCCAGGTACTCACGGTAAAGGAAAGAACACTCCTGGGTTTTGTCCTCTGGCCCCCACTTACGTGGTGTGGCGTGCGTTCACACAGGCACCTACAGAAAGGTTGTCATGAGCTTTTTCCCTCTTCCCCCTCAGTTTCATTGTCCAGCAGAAGCCACCTCTTTGTCAGCTGTGGTAGGACGAGCCTGTAATCCCAGCACTCGGGAGGTGTAGTCAGGAAGATGCGGAGTTCAAATTCATCTCCAGCTAGATAGTGATGTGGAGGCCACCCTGAGCTACATGGCACCCTAGCGCCAAAAAAAGAAAAAAGACATCCAGTTGGAGATGTCAGGTAGGCAGTAGTCTGTGAGTCTGCAGTTTGGAGAAGATGGTAGGGCTGTTAATTTGGGAGCCTGCGACAGAGGGTATCTGAGAACAAAAATTAGGTAGAGAAAGAGAGAGCATGAGCATGCTGATGTAGCTGAGAGGAGAGAGGGCATGAGGTCTGGGCCATGTCACTCCTGAGGAGGTTAAAACCGGATTCACAGAGGTGCCGAGGAATGACCAGGGTTGGAGGCATTGCCAGTCTAATTAAGGTGGTCTGAGAAAGACACAGGTGCAGGACGAGGATCTGGACCAAACTGGTTTCAGTACTCTGCTGAGGGACAGCTTCATGTTGAGGTCAGGAGGTGGGAAGAAAGAAACTGCAGGATTAAGTAGGAAAGAAAGGAAGAAAGAAAGAAAGAAGGAAGAAAGAAAGAAAAAAAAGAAAGTTACAGGGAGCTGTAGTGAAGAGTTTGTTGTTAAGGGGGAATTATGAAACTGCTCTAACACGGTGGGAATGAAGGAGAAAGAAGGGCTGGAGTGACAGTACTGTAGAGGGGAAACTCGGCTTAACTGACCCTTGATTGAGTCCATGATGAGTTTGCTCATAAGGCTGTGTGACCTTGGGAGGAACAAGCGATTCTGTGTGTATGTGTTGGTATGCATGCATGTGCAGGTGCATGCAGAAGCCAGAGGACACCTTGAGCTTTGCTACTTGGGAGCTGTCTGTCCTTTGAGACAGTCTCTGGTTGGCCTGAAGCTTGCCAGGGAGGCTGGATGACTGTCACAGCCCTCACGTGCACATTCCAGGTGCTGGGATCACACACACACACCCCTCCACGCCTGAGTTTGTGCCCAGGGCCTTGAGTTTATTGGCTAAGCTGTTTGCCCAGCACTTTGCAGGCATTTGTTTTCTTTTATTTAAATGTTTTTTAATTTTGTGTGTGTATTTGCCTGCATGTATGCTTGTGTACCGAATGTGTACCGAACGCGTGCCTGGTCCCTGAGGAGGTGGTGAATGAACCTCCCTATGGGTGCTGAGAATCAAACCCCAATCCTTTGCAAGAACAGCAAGTGCTCTTTTTTTGTTGTTTTGTTTTTTTTTTAAGATTTATTAATTATGTATACAGTGTTCTGCCTGCATGCCAGAAGAGGGCGCCAGATCTCATTACAGATGATTGTGAGCCACCATGTGGGTGCTGGGAATTGAATGAACAGCCAATGCTCTTAACCGCTGAGCCATCTCTCCAGCCCTCTTTTTAGGTTTTTTTGAGACAGGGTTTCTCTAACTAGCACAATTGGCCCCTTGTCAACTTGACACAGACACACATAGGCCATTAAGCCATAACCTTCCCTGTTCATACCAAGATCTCATATTAATACCAACATCACAATGTGTATTGTTCCAAGTTGGTCTGTTTTGTTTGGTTGGTTTTTAAAGATAAGGTTTCTCTGTATAACATCTTTGGCTGTTCTGGAATTTGCTTTGTGAACCGGGCTGGCCTCGAACTCTATCTATGTTGGACAGCTTGGACTACAGAGGGACCCTGTCTCAAAACAAACCCCACTTAGCCTGGCAGTTCATTTGCATAATTACCGGAAGACAGGAACCAGCAAAGAATTCTTCTCATAGTTCTGTAATGCTGGGAGAGGGAACCAAGACACCCCTGATGTGGAGCTGCTGTGAAAAGGGAGATGCCATGAAGGTGGTTGGGGCATGGATGTGCTTTTGTGTTATTATTTCAGTATTTAATTATGTGAGTCTATGCACATGGTGCCAAGTTTCTGTGGAGACCAGAGGTGTGAGTTTATAGTCCGGGACCTGAAGTTAGAGGAGGTTTTGAGCCACGTATGTGGGCGCTAGGAACAGAACATCAGCCTTCCGAAAGATCCCATCTCTGGGCCATTTCTCCAGACCCTATCCCCAATTTTTTTTTTTTGAGACACAGTATTACTGTATAGCCTAGACAGGCCTCAGCCTTGTATTCCTCTTGCCTCTGGTGTCCTGGGATTACTGACAAATGCTACTGTGGTGTCTTATGTAGTTACTTTGTTTATTTTATTGAGAGACAGGGTTTCTCTGTGTAACAGTCCTGACTGTCTTGGAACTTGCTCTATAGATCAGGCTAGCCTCGAACTCAGAAATCCAACTGCCTCTGCCTCCGGAGTACTGGGAATAAAGCCATATGCCAATGTGATTACATTTTTATTTGTTTGTGTGTATGGAGGGGTGCCTAATGTGTATGTGAAGGTCAGAACTTGATTTGGAATGTCTGCCTCAATCCATCTCCACTTACTCACATTGTCCAAGGTCTTTTGCTGAACCTGGGGCCCACCAGTTGCAGCTAGTCTAGCTAACCAGCTTTTCCCAGGGTTCCCCTGTCTCTGCCTCCCAAGTACTGGAATTTCAGGCAGCCCTCATACCTCCCTAGTTTTTACATGGGTACTGGGGATTTGAACTCTGGTTCTAAAAACCGGAGTTTTATCCACTAAGCCACCTTCCTAGCCCTTCATGTGATTGCATTCTGAAGAGTTTTTTATTGTCATTTATATGTCTATGGTACATATTTTTAGGAGCTGGAAGATGGCGTCAAATTTCCTGGAGTAGAGTGATTGTGATTGTGAGCTGTCTGACTTGGGTGCTAGGGACCAAACTCTGGTCTTCTGCAAGAGCAGTAATTGTTCTAAACCACAGAGCCATCTCTTCAACTCTGGGATTACATTTTAACCCTCTCCAGAGGCGGGAAAGCCCTCTGTGATTGCTGGTTGCATGAGGATGTGTTTGTGCCGGTTCCTCCTTCCACCCTCTTCTGTATGGTGACCCGTATCCTCCTCCCCACGGCAGCTCGCACACCCCTTTGTAGCTTCTTTGTGCTTCTTTAAGACCCCAGTGAGAGGTGAGCATGGCCGCCCTTTTCACTCTTCAGTTCCGTCTGCATCCGTCCCGTGTCATCCCATCCCCCCCGTCCCGGGTCGCCCCCCTCCCCTCGGAGCTGAGGACCGAACCTGGGCCTCGCGCTTACTAGGCAAGCGCTTTACCACTGAGCTAAATCCCCAACCCCAGTCCTGGGTTTTGTTTTGTGTTTAAAGATGGCCTTGACTTCAGATCACCAACCTCGCCCTACGTTTTAATTAATGCCTTTCTTTCTCCAGACATGTGGCAGCCTGAGAGTGGGTGGACACTGTGAAAACAGACATGTACTTCAGAAAGAATAGACAGGACATGCTGATGGGCTGAGTTCTGGGTACTGAGAGAAAGGAACCAATTTTTGCCTTGTTTTTTTTTTACAGCTCACAACTATCTGTTGCTTATTATTTTAGAAACAAGTGCGTGCATGTATGTGTATTTATTTTTTGGTTTTTTGAGACGAGGTTTCTTTGTGTAGTCCTGGCTGCCCTGAAATTAGCTATGTAGACCAGGCTGGCCTTGCTCATAGAGACCCACCTGCCTCTGCCTCCCAGGTGCTGGGATGAAAGGTGTGTGCCACCACTGCCCAGCAGCAAATATATATCTTTAAGAAAACTTTCCTTGGGGCTGGAGAGATGGCTCAGAGGTTAAGAGCACCAACTGTTCTCCCAGAGGTCCTGAGTTCAATTCCCAGCACCCACATGGCAGCTCACAACCATCTATAATGAGATCTGGCACCCTCTTCTGTGTACTAAATAAATAAATCTTTAAAAAAAAAAAAAAAAAAAAAAAAAGAAAACTTTCCTTAGAGTTTGAATTGTTACATTTCAGAATACTCCTGTGCGGATTAATTCTGAGTATATAACTTTGAAGACGATTGGTATCAGAAGACAGAGGAAGAAGAAAGGCATCTGTCTGAATGAGAGCGGCCTTTGTGCTCTAGACGAGCTAGTCAGCGCATCCTGTGGTGAGCATCACCTTTTCTCAATTCCATATTCTCCAGAGCCTCAGGCACTGTGTAACTTCAGTCCTGAGGACTGGGGCTCACTGTTTGTTTTACCTGCAAAAGTAGATGGCTGCCCTGTCATCCTGTTGTGTGGCGCTTGTGACACTGGAAAGTCAACGTTCAGTAGAATACTGATTAACCAGTTATTGAATAGGTAAGCATGCTTGTGTTTTCATCTGGTCACATCTGGGCATGAAGTGAGATGCCGGGGAGAAACTGGGTTTTTGTTGGATCTCCTGAGGCATGGTGTCACTCTCTAGACTAGTCTGGCCTTGGACTCCTGGTGATTCTCCTGCCTCAGCCTCCCCAGTGCTGTGATTACAGATATAAGCCAACATGCCCAGCTTGATGGAGAGACTAGCGGTGGGATTGTGTTCAGAGCTATGTGCTGTCGGCTGGGCAGTGGCACTCTTCACTAACTGACCTGGAGAAGAGGGGGTGCTTGATCTTGGAATCTATACTGGTCCAGGTGTCATCCCCAAACCCAGGACTGGGCTGTTATGTTTTGGCGGTAACCTTGCCTGTTGTGAATGGGATGGGGCCTTGCTTTTGGAATGTGACAGCTACAAGGCTACACAAGGTGATGATGTCCACATGTCACACAAAGTCACAGCTACAGAGGACAGCTGCCTGAGATTTATCTTTCTCTTTAATAATTTCCAGCCTTCCTGGAGTTGACTATCTGGAATGTGACCTGGGGCAGACAGAGTTTACTCCTCCTGGCTGCATTGCTTTACTTAACATTACAGAACCACTGCTGGGTATGTATTACAGGTTTCAAGTAATCACAGTCACAAAATTCTGGATCACATGTAAAATATGCAAAGCTCTGCCTCCAGCTTCCACAACAAACTTGATTGAATGTTTTTTTATTTTAGGAAATGGAACTATTTTATGAATAATTTATTTTTATGTTTTGTGCATTGGTGTTTTGCCTGCATGTATGTCTGTGTGAGGGTGTCAGATCTCCTAGAACTGGAGTTACAGATAGTTGTGAGCTGCCGTGTGGGTGCTGGGAGTTGAACCCGGGCCCTCTGGAAGAATAGCCAGTGCTCTTAACCTGTGAGCCATCTTCAGCTCCTGTTTTGTATAAATTTCACAATACGTCTCACCCTAATAACGTCTAGGTGACCTGAACCTTGACCCAGTACTGTTGAACAGTCCACAGATCATTTTTTTTTCCTGCATTCACCTGTAAATCCTTTTCCTGTTTCAGAATGCAAATAGAATTTTTTTAGAATTATAAATTATACAAAATAAATGTGGTCGTCTTAGCCACTTCTGGGTGTATAATAATGCAAGGATGTTAAATCTGTATATAGTGTTGTAGTTCTTGTTGCTACATCAGATTTTTTTATTATCGCCCAGTGAAGTGCTTCTCTTTACAGATCAACTCCACGGCCCAGCTCTTAGTTACTGTCTGGTCTAGTTCTGTCCCTGGGAATGTCCCTAGTTAGTCTTTCTTTTTTTCCCCTAGTTAGTCTTGTAAGCCAGTCACTCAGTACTGCATCTGGTTTGATTAGAATCTAGGTTATAGAATGTGTCAACTTAAGTCTCAGACCAAAGCTTGATGGGTAAAGGTGTAGAAATAACCGTCTTATTAAATAAGAAACACAGAGCCAATGCAGAGATGAAAGCCCAAAAGGTCAGAGCTTCAGCTATCCTCTTCAGCCAAGAGACCTACTTCCTGTGTGTTTGTCTTTATATAGACTTTCTGTTCTGCCTTCTCATTGGTTGTAAACCCAACCACATGACTGCCTCGTCACTGCCTGTCTGTACAGACCTCCAGGTCTTCTATGGTTGGTATTGAGATTAAAGGCGTGTGTCTCCAATGCTGGCTGTATCCTTGAACACACAGAGATCTACCTAGCTCTGCCTACCAAGTGCTGGGATTAAAGGCGTGCACCACCACCGCCCAGCTTTTGCTATGGCTCTAATAGCTCTGACCCCCGGGCAACTTTATTTATTAACATACAAATCACATTTTAGTACAAATAAAATATCACCATATAAAGGTCCTGCCACACCAGCCTGAAGGTGGCTCTGGTCATGAGCGTCTGCCTGTGACCCCAGCACTCCCATGGCAAGCTGGAAGGTAGAGGGAGGATAATCAGCTTGAACATTCATACGCACATACAGGGAGAAAAATAACCTTAGTTTTCTTTGTATAGCTGAAATGATTCCATTATGTATTTGCATCCCATGTTTTTATCCACCTTGTTGAGGTAGGGTCCCTTATTTTTCTGTTGTGTTACTGCATATATCAAACTAGCTGGCCTGCAAGCTTTTAAGTGACCTCACCTCGCCCCCTTTTGTTGGTGAAATTATTAAGGCCACTCCACGTAGTTAAAAGGGAGGTTTATTAGTGGCGTAACTTACAAATGAAGGGATAGGTAGGTCACAGGGTCTGGGGAAGGTGTGTCGAGTCCAGTGGTGTTCTCTGGAGAACTCTGCTCCGTCAACCTCCATCATCCAGGGTCCAGGAACAGAGACGGTGGCACCTCCGGATCGCGGGTCTTCAGGGCCCTCTCTTGGGTCCACCTTGTAGGCGTGATAGTTACCGAAGCCTCAATAGGGGTTGGAACTTCCAGACCAAAGCTGGGATGGCTACACACTACAACCTTTCTTCTTGAGAATGCTAGAATGCCAGATGTGTGTCCCCACATTTTGGGTTCTAGGGACTGAGGTTTGATTTCAGGCTTGCGTGACCAGCACCTTTACCCACTGAGCTCTCCATCCCACTGTGGGAGTTGTGTATTTTGGCTGCTGTGAACAGCGCTGCTATGATAACAGTGGACAAGTACACAGTCGAGACCCTGCTTTCCGCTCAGTTGTGTGCCTGGGTGTGCAGTTGCTAGGTCCTGTGATAGTCTGTGTGCACTTCTGAGACACCACCAGGTGTTTTCACAGTGGCTGGGCCATCTTTTAAGTTGCCACCAGCAGCGTGCAGGGTACTGATTCTCTTTGTTCTTGCCAGGGTGGGTGGTTTTGATTACAGACCACCAGGCAGGCATGAAGCAGTGTTTTGTGCTCCTGTGACTACTGATACTAGGTGTCCTCTTCTTCAGTGTTTACATTGTCAGTGCTTATTGGCCACCTATACATCTGGAAAGAATGCCTATTTAAGTCCCTGGAGTTTTTAGTATTTTGTTGTTGTTGTTTGTTTTGTTTTGTTTTTGTATTTCAAGATATTTCTCTGTGTGGTCTTGGCTGTCCTGGAACTCACAGAAATCCACCTGTCTCCCAAGTGCTGGAATTACAGAAGTGTGCCACCATGCCCAGCTCACTGTTTGGTTTTTAAATTTATTTTACACTCACTTGTTTTGAGTAGGAGTTGAGTGCAAGTGTCTTGGCACACATACACACATGTAGAAATCCAGTGACAACTTGTAGGAGTCAGGTCTTTGTAATGAATCTTTTTCTGTCCTGCCAGTCAGTTCCCAAATAATGACACGGACTTGTTTAAATGAAGACAGAGTTTCTCTGTGTGGTTTTGGTGTCTGTCCGGAATCTCGCTCTATAGACCAGGCTGGCCTCAAACTCACAGAGGTCCGCCTGCCTTTGCCTCCCTAGTGCTGGCATTAAAGGTGTGTGCCACCAACACTCATCTTAAGATTTATTTTTAATTATGTGTATTCAGGGGAGGGTGGTTTGTGCACATGAGTGCAAGTGTCCTTGGAGCCAGAAGAGGGCATCTGATTCTCCTGAAGCTGGAGTGAGAGGTGACTGTCAACCTCTTGACACCAAACCCAGGTCCTCTGCCAGAGTAGTGCGTGCTCTTGCCCCTGGGCCATCTCACCAACCCTTGCTCTGGTTTCTTTATTTCTTTTTGTCTTTTCTTTCCTTTGGGGGGCATTAGGGCTCTTACTGTGTAGCTCTGGCTAGCCTGGAACTCACAGAGGTCCAGCTGCCTTGCCTCCCAAATACTGGGATTAAAAGTATAAACTACCACTTAGCCAGGGATTATTAAAGGTCATTAATTGAATTTTTGACAGACTGTAAGCCCTAGAAGGTGGGGAGGTTCATGATTGTATCCCAGATGCCTGGAACAAATGCAGCCATGTCAGAACATGATTGGAGCTGACTTACATATATGAAAGTGGGGTTGTCCTTGTATTAAATGGACTTCCAAAAACAAAATTAGGATGTTCTTGGTGGTTTGAGATTTCCTAAGATCTTTGTCAGGGTTGGCAATAACACAAAATCTTGGCCACTGTTTGTGGCCATGGCATGGTTGCTTTTGCTTGGCAGTGATGGAGATGGAACCCCTGTAGCAGCGGGTCTCAAACTGTAGGTCATGACTCCCAAGGGGGTCACATACTGGATATTGATATTACGATTCATAACAGTAGCAACAAAATTAATGTTATAGTTGGGGCTTACCACACACAGCATGAACTGTTTTACAGGGTCACAGCATTAGGGAGGTTGAGAACCACTGGTCTCGAGCCTTCTGTGTTGGGCCAGTGCTTGGTTCCTGACCCCGTCCGTTATTCCTTAGGACCACCTTACACCCACCCGAGGAGGCCACAGAGGATGGTGTACTACGGGAAGATGAATTGTCATAATGACTATGAGAATTACATCGAAATAATAAAATACGTGTTCAGAGATTACAAGAGAGAGTCCCCACTTATCATCAACACAATGGGCTGGGTGAAAGGTAAGCCCATGTACGTGTGTTGTAGTGTAAGTAGATACAATGAGTGCTGTACAGGTGCACGTTATGATGTTTCCATACATGTGGCTGAGGACGGCTTTGAACTTGTAACCCTCCTCCCACGTCCTCCCCAGTATAAAGGTTATAGGTATTTGTCCTTACTGTCCCTTTTTGTTTGTTTGTTTCGTTTTTTGGGGGTTTTTTTGTTTTTGTTTTTTGTTTTCTGAGACAAGGTTTCTCTCTGTAACAGCCCTGGCTGTCCTCGAACTCACTCTGTAGCCCAGGCTGGCCTCAAACTCACGGAGATCTGCCTGCCTCTGCCTCCCAGGTGCTGGGATTAAAGGCGTGCGCCACACCCGGCCCATGTCTTTAGCGCTTGGTACACTGTGCTCACCGTCTCTCCTCCACCGCAGATGACGGACTGCTGCTGCTGGTTGACCTGATCCGATTGTTATCTCCCAACTATGTTGTTCAGTTGTCTACTGGCCGGGGAAGGTTGATGCCCGCTCTGACCTCAGAATACGTGGAGCTCACAGATGGCCTGTATACAAAAAGCAAGATCAAAAGGAGACATCGAGGTTTTGAAATTGAAGAATTTGAAGACAGTTTGGAATTTACTGAGGAAGAGAAAGACTCTAGTCCAGTTCCAGTCTTCACTGGACATAAGCTGATGTATGTCCACTCAGAATTTTTATGTGACAAAAATGAAAAAAATAGGTAAGTGTCACTGGAGTAACGAATGAAGCTTCCTGCAGTGAGCCAGGCATTGTGTGCTCACTTGTTTAGAAAGCTGGTCGTGGTTCATTCTTGAACCTGGGAGGCAGGCCCGGGAATCATGAGTTCGAGGCCAGCTTGTTGTGAAGCCCTGTTGTTGTTCGAATCTTAGATGATCTTTTAATGAAAAACCCAGAGCTAGATATCAGGGTGAAAGTGAAAGATCAGAGAAGCAGAGCAGCCAGCCCCTAGTTCTTACCTCTACGACATCCTCAGCCTAAAGAGAGTGAGTTCCTGTTTCCTCATGCCTTATATACCTTAATCTGCCCAGATATCACTTCCTGGGATTAAAGGCGTGTGTGCTTCCCAGTACTGGGATTAAAGGTGTGTGTGTGTGTGTGTGTGTGTGTGTGTTACCACTGCCTGCCTCTGTTTCCAGTGTGACCTTGAACTCAGAGAGATCCAGACGGATCTCTGCCTCCCGAGTGATAGGATTAAGGGTTTATGCCACCACTGCCTGACCTCAATGTCTAATCTAGTGGCTGGCTCTGTCCTCTGATCCTCAGGCAAGTTTATTAGGGTACACAATATATCACCACACCCTGTAAACAAAAAGGAGAGATAATACTCTTAAGATTTTTTCCAGTTACCACTGCTATATATTTAAAGGAGAATGATTCCTGGTGGGGGCATGGAGATGGGGCTTCCCACGCTAGTGACCAAGGGCTCAGTGCTGAGGAGTCGTTGGGCTTTCTGTTGTTTGGAAGACTGTGTCAAGGCAGGGTTTTAGGTGGGGAGAGATGGGGGGAAGGGTTGGCCATCAGACCAGGGTCTTGAACGTGCTGGCAGCTCTAACACTGAACCACATCTCCAGCCCGAGGGTTTGAGGGTATCTGAAAGAACAAGGTCTAGTGTGCTGCCTAATGTCAATTGAGATGCTGTTCACTTCTGCCCCCAGTGGCTTTGGTGTGTTCTCCACTCAACTTGCTCTGCTCTACCTTTCAGGGCCAAATACAACAAAATCTTCCGAGATCTGGCAGTGTTGGGTTACCTTAGCCAGCTGATGCCTCCTGTGCCAGGGCCACTTAGTCCTCTGCACAGCCTCACACCGTACCAGGTAATCAGGGTGCTGGGAGAAACCGTCTGTTGACTGATACTTGAGGCCTCCTGTGTCCTGGGCGCTCTGCCTCCTCCTGTATATTGCTTCCCTAATTCTCAAAACGGCCCTGTGGTCTGGGTTCTGATATTATCCCCATTTTTCAGATGGGAAAACTAAGGAACAGTGAGGCTGGGTTACCTGGCAGAAGATGGAGAGCTGGCATTTGGTCCTTGGCTGGCAAGCTTAGTGTCTGGTATGGATTGTAGTTTCAGGTCAGCTATACGTTGCCTGATCTGGTGGCTGTCTCTCGTGTGCACTCTTACCTGCATGAGGGTAGTGCCTGGTGTCTCAGGATGCTGTAGGGCTCCGTGAGCCTTCCTGGTGGTGCCTGGTACATAGAGTAGCCTCCAGGGGACCTTGTTATTCCTGTCGGGTTCCAACACCAAAGTGTTTGGAACTTTGAGTCCAGGCTGCTGGGGATTGCTTTGGGGAATGCTCTGTGATTAGGATCTGGGGTGGAGATGGTGAACACTGACATCAGCAGGGCTTGTTTTGGTGAGGGTGTTTGAGCCCAGAGCCTCTCCCATGCTGTGTGCTGTACGGAGAACCGCCAGTCAGTTCCCAGAGAATCACACAGAGACTTAGTCACTATAAATGCTCGTGCCGATAGCTTAGATTGTCTCCAGCTCTTACAGCTTAACTTAATCCATTTCTATTCATCTATGTGCTGCCCCGAGGCTCATTTACCTCATCTATGAACTTCCATGTTGCTTCTGCTTCTGGCTCAAAAATTCTCAGACTCCACCTTCGTCCTTCCTGTCATTCTCTCTGCCCCGAAAATCCTGCCTTGTCATCAGCCAATCAGCTTTTTTATTTAATAGTTATTTATTATGTATAGTGTTCTGCCTACATACCAGAAGAAGGCACTAGATCAAATAACAGGTGGCTGTGAGCCACCATGTGGGTGCTGAGACTTGATCTCAGGACCTCTGGAAGAGCAGCCAGTGCTCTTAACCATCTCTCCAGCCCCCTCAGCTTTTTTTTTTTTTTTTTTTTTTTTTTTTTTTTTTTTGGTTTTTCGAGACAGGGTTTCTCTGTGTAGCTTTGCGCCTTTCCTGGAACTCACTTCGTAGCCCAGGCTGGCCTCGAACTCACAGAGATCCGCCTGCCTCTGCCTCCCGAGTGCTGGGATTAAAGGCTCGAGCCACCACCGCCCGGCTCAGCTTTTTATTAACAATGAGAGCAACACGTCTTCACAGTGTCCAGAAGGATCATTCCACAGGACTAGGTTGACAGCAATCAGCCTAAGCTTCACCTGCATGTGCACACGTACTGTCTTAGGTACTTTTCTATTGCTATTACAGAACACCATGACCAAGGCAGCTTATAGAAGAAAGGTTCATAGGGCTGACTGCTGGGGAGGGTAGAGTCCAGGAGGGCAGATCACAGGCATTGGTGGGAGGAGCGTCCGAGACCTCCCTCACATCTGGATTCCCAGTAAGAGACTGCAAGTCTTTTGATACCTTAAAGCCCACCCCACTGTGACATGCCTTCTCCAAGGCCACACCTCCTAATCCTTCCCAAACAGTTCTACTAACTGGCGACCAAGCATTCAAACTTATGACCCTATGGGGGCCATTCTCATTCAAACACACACACACACACACACACACACACACACACACACACACACACACACACATATGGCAGCATTTTGTTTTTTAAACCAAGAAATATTTGCTTTGAAAGCGGCGCGTACATCTCCACAGTGTCAACATACCTCTGCACAGCAGAGCAGGAGCTCCCTGGGCTTTGACAGGAGAAAACTGCACTGATGAAGACAACTACTCCCGGTGATGACATAAGAAAAAGTCTCCTGGTGTGTGTTGTGTGAAATGGCAGGTGCTCACGGCCTGAGCCATGTCCTCTGCTCTTGTACTTTGGAGAGTTGACGTGGCCATGGCACACCATTCTAGAAGGCACCTTAGGAAACACTCAGGAGCATGGCTAAACATGAGGGTGATGGGCAGTTGGCAGTGGGTTTGGTTTTGGTTTTTTGGATTTTTTGTTTTGTTTTTACAAAACAGGGTTTCTCTGTGTTGCCCTGGCTGTCCTGGATCTCGCTCTGTAGAACCAGGCTGGCCTCAAACTCAGAGATCAGCCTGGCTCTGCCTCCCGAATGCTGGGATTAAAAGAATGCACCACCACTGCCTGGTGTAGTGTGTTTGTTTTAAAAAAGAAAGAAAGCAAATTTCTAGTCAGCAAAACCCAGCTGATAAATACTCCAAACAGCCAGAGGAAAAACCGGGCTGCGACTGGAATGGCGGCTCTGCCCGTCATTCTCCTGGTGGCTCCCGACACCTACAGGGATGTCCTTGAGCTGCAACCTTAGTGTGCTGTAATCTGTTGGCTTTTGTGACCCTCCTCTTTACATATCCATATCTCCATGAGTTCCTTGGCTGACGCCTGAACAGCTTTCCCTAGTCAGTCAGTCTACCAAGGAATGTCCTGGAATCCACAGATTGACACTATTGCGAGGGCTTTTACCCCCCTGCTGTGGTTTTGTTTGGAGTTGAGGAGAGAAGGGAATGAAGATCATGTGGATAGAAGTTCAGAAAGGAGGGAACTACGTAACCCAGGCTGCCTTGAACTTCCGGTCCTCCTGCCTCTGCCTGCCATATGCTGTGAGAATAGGCATGTGCCACCCACCACACCCAGTCTTCTGTGGAGCTAGGGATCAAACCCAGGGCTTCTGCATTTTCGGTCAGGACTCCATCAACCAAGCCATCCCCTAGTTTGTGTTTTCACAACCCAGATTTTGGCTGGGTGTGACAGCACATGCCTGTAATCCCAGCACTGGGCAAAGCAGAGACAAGAGGGTCCCTAGGGCTTGCTGGCCAGTCAATCTACCAGATGAGCGAGCTATAGGTTTGCTGAGAAACCCTTTTTCTCAAAAAATACATGAAAGGGTAAAGTCTGGTATGGTGGCATATTGGGTCTCTGCTTTGAGGCAGCCTAGGAACAAAAAACCTGAAAAACAAAACAATGTGAGGAGTGGTGGATGGGAAGATGCCCCACCTTACCTCCTGGCCTCCATATGCGAGTGCTCAAAAATACACGCAAGTGAGCACACGTGAACACACACAGAACATAGTTAAAGCGTCTCTAAGTCAGCCGTGTGGTCTATGCCATTAGCTCGGGGCTTGGGAGACTGAGGCAGTGGACTGCACAGAGTCCGTGTCTTGGGAAGAAGCCTCTCAGTAGAAGTGAATCAGGGAGATGAGCAGTTACGGTTTATTCTCCAGGTCCCCTTCAGTGCAGTTGCTGTCCGGATCACTCATGCTGATGTTGCCCCTGCCCACATACTGTACGCCGTGAATGCCAGCTGGGTTGGCCTTTGCAAGATCCTGGATGATATGAAAGGATACACTCGGGGGCCCATCCTGCTTGCCCAGAACCCCATATGTGACTGTTTGGGCTTTGGTGAGTTGAGAGTAAATGATGCCTCTTACCCTGTCCGCTTCACTGTAGACAGCTGGTCTTGACCGTGTACCTGTACCTTGTCTTTGGGGGAATTGATGTCTTTCTCTGTGCTTCTCCGTGTTACGTTCCTTACCTTCATCACAACTATCCAAAGTCGTCTGTTGGCCTGTTTGGTCCCTCATAGCTGAACAGGGGGATGTCTAAAGAATTAAAGAGTATACTTTCTTAAGATTTATTTTATTTTTAGCTGGGCATGGTGCTTACTCCACGAGAAACAGGCAGGTGGTTCTCTGTGCCTTTCATTTTTAATTATGTGGGCATGTGCACGAGTGCAGACGCTCCTGGAGACCAGAGGTGTTGGGGGTTGGATTCCTGGAGTTGGAGTTACAGCTGCCTGAAGTTGGTGCTAGGAACTGAACTTGGGTCCTGTGGAAGAGCAGCAAGCACTCTTAACCCTGCTGAGCCATCTCGATACCCCTCAGTTACTGCTCTTCGTATTCTGAGAGCAAAGCACTAGAAATTAAAATTCCTTAATTTATTTCGTGTATGTGTTTGCCTGCATGTCTGTCTGCATCCTGTGCCTAGTGCTCTTCGAGGCCAGGATAGGGCTTCAGATCCCATGGGAGCAGAGTTGTGAGCTACCATATGGGTTCTGGAAATGGCACCCAGCTCCTTCGCAAGAGCATCAAATGTTCTTAACTGTTGAGCTGTCTCTTCAGCCCCAAAATAAAACTCTTAATGTCAAGATGAACCTCACTTTCTGTTGGTTGAAATGTGCACTGTCTGCAGAATGGCTGATGTTGCTCTGTATCTTCAAGGCATCTGCAGAGGCATTGACATGGACCAGCGGCTGTACCACATCCTCACCCCTTTGCCTCCAGAAGAGTTGAAAACTGTGAACTGTCTGCTGATTGGTGCCATTACTGTTCCACATTGTATTTTCAAGAACCAGGTGAGCCCACACAGGACAGTCCTGCGCGGAACCTGGGCAGGTGGAAATGAGCGGGTTGGCTGCGTTAAGGCAACAGTTCCTTTATCTGGGAGATGTACACTTTATTATGTGGATTGAATGACATAAGATGGGATATTGGATGCCTCAAAAGGTTCAAGTCAGGATCTCAGTGTAGAGAAAGTAATAGGGGAAGGATGTGGAGGGCGGAGGTAGCCTCCATAGGACTGCCCTCCTTCAGACAGCCTTGTGTGTGTGTGTTTGTTTTTGAGACAGCATCTCACTGTGGAGTCTTGGTTGACCTCATTATAGACCAAGTTGGCCTCCCAAGTGCTGAAATTAAAGTGCACAACAGTGTGCAACACCAGCAGTCTTGGGAGGCACACCAGAGAGCACACTGGTGTGTATGGTGCACAACAGTGTGCAACACCAGCAGTCTTGTGAGGCACACCAGAGAGCACACTGGTGTTTATGGGCAGGGCTGAGTGGGTGGAGGTCCTGGTTGTGTTTATCTCCTGTCTAATCTGAAAGCAGCATGAACCATCTCTCATGATGGGTGGGGGTGGGGGGTTCAGGGTAGACAGATGGCAGGCACGGAGGCTTGTTTGCTCCAGAGGCCCTTTGAGGCTATATCTGGTCAGATACACATACACATAAAACCAAGTAAGTGAATATATATGTGTTGGTTGTTCAAGACAGGGTTTCTCTCTGTAGCTCTGGCTGTCCTGGAATTCACTCTGTAGACCAGACTGGCCTCAAACACACAGAAATCCATCTACCTCTGCCTTCTGGCTGCTGGGATTAAAGGCATGTGCCACCACTGCTTGGCAAATATATATGTTTTTAAATTTACAAAAAGGCAGGAGGATTTTTGCGAGTTTGAGGCTGGCGTAGGATGGATACATAGCAAGACCTTTTATTTTATTTTATTTTTTTAAAAAAAAAAAAGGAAAAGAAAAAGGCCTGGAGAGATGGCTCATCAGTTAAGAGCACTGACTGCTCTTCTGGAGTTCAGTTCTCTGCAACCACATGGTGGCTCGCAACCATTTCTAGTGGGATCTGATGCCCTCTTCGGGCGTAATGTTGTACATGCAGATAGAGCACTCATAGACATAAAATAAGTAAATCTTTTTTTTTGTTTGTTTGTTTTAAATAAGGTGTCAGATGGTGGTGACACACACTTTTTTAATCCCACCACTCAGGAGACAGAGGCAGGCAGATCTCTGTGAGTTCAAGGCTAGCCTTGTCTGCAGACAGAGTTCCAGGACAGGTTCCAAAGCTACACAGGGAAACCCTGTCTCAGGAGGGGAAAAAAAAGGCCTTTGAGGAACATCCTAAGTGTCTCAGGCTCCAGAGCCTGCTGCCCAGCTGTGTTCATACAGGCTTCCAGTTGGGATAACCCCTCTACTCCTCGAGGCTGTCTGGACAGGAACTATCTGTTGGTTTGTGTTTCCATTTCAGCCTGGGCCCGAAGGGACAATTCCTTACATCACCACGGATTATAACTTTAAACTTCCTGGAGCCTCGGAAAAAATTGGAGAAAGAGAGTATGGAAATGCATTTCTTGGGTACAGAGCCTATAAAAAAAGAAAATAAAGCCTTGCTATAGACAGAGCCTTTCTCCCTGGGAACCTTGTCCTCAAGCCCCGAGGCAGCAGGCTTAGTGGGGCTTTGTGGCTGTGAGCAGCAAACTCATGTCCAGTGTTGATGTGACTGGACAATGTGCTGCGTAGGAAATAGCTTTTTTCTTTTCTCTAAGACAGGGTCTCCTGTCTCTGTCATCCAAGTGTGGCATTACAGGCCTATGTCACCACACCCGGCTTTCAGGCTTTTCTCCTCAGTTGTTTGATCTCAAATTTGGCCTGGACTTCTTCACGACTGGCTGTCCCAGGTGAGTGGAGCATTTCCTTCAGAGCTGTGGAGCAGCAAGGAAGGCTGTGCTCGTCGTCAGACAGGAAGTGCACGGCTCTCTCACTTCGCGGCCCAAGGACCTGACTGTCGGACTCGAGATAAAATTCAGGAAACCAGGGCCACAAAAATGTGCCACATCCAGGCGGTGGTGGCGCAGACCTTTAATCCCAGCACTCGGTCGGGAGGCAGAGCCAGGCGGATCTCTGTGAGTTCGAGGCCAGCCTGGCCTAGAGTGAGATCCAGGACAGGCACCAAAACTACAGAGAAACCCTGTCTCACCCCCCCCCCCCCCCCAAAAAAAGTGCCGCTAACCAGGGCAGCAGGCTGACCCAGCAGTTCTCCGGTGCAGTGCATGGCCGCCGAGGTCCTGGGCAGAATGTGTGGACCTTACCAGTGAGGTGAGATGACGCAGATGCCTGATCCTTGGATGCCGTTGACTCTCCCAATCATGTTGTCAAGGGTTAGAGGACTGTATTGGGTCTGTTAGTTTCTGGGTCATTTTAATCATGAGACTTTATGTTGAAGAAGTTGCTCTGACATCCAGAAAGCCTCCAGAAGGTTCCTTAAGTCTAGGAATGCTCTGACTGACTCCTCCGTTGAGGCTGGACACACTGCCACGGGGCCACCAGCCTATGGACAGACACATTTGTGCCTGGCTTGGACAAACCTTTGCTACCAGCGCTTTCTTCTAGGGACCAGGAGGCCACGCAGGTACCATTTTTCCTAGTGGATTTTGTAATTAGAAGTGACTCTGTCAGGTCACTTTTGTGGTTGAAAAAACAAGCCACTGAGCAACTTCTCAAGTTGGCGTGACCGACATGTCAGGACTCCACCTTCCAGCAGGATCATGTTCAAAGACCATTCGAGGCTGTGGAAGGTTTAATGTTTATGTTCACGTACACCATTGATTATCTCCATCTTGTCTGTAACCATAGCACCCTGAGTGTTCCTGGTCTTGTCTGCTTGGCCCCATCTTTGTGACTCTGTTCGGTGCCCTCGGCATTTGAAAAACCCATTAGAGACAGAACAGCAGCGGCCAGCCACTTAACTAGCTGTCCCTTATTTATGTCTAACTTTAGCTTGTGTCTTTCTGTGTGGTGGGGAGGGGGCTCTTATCATGTTGCCCAAGCAGGTCTCTGGCTCCGTTGCTCTCCCTCTTCTGAGTGCTGAGATCACAGGTGCAGTTAGCCTAGTACCACCCCTCTTCCTGCGTTCCCCAGGTCTTCCTGTCTTCACAAGAATAAAGATCCTGAAATGCCGGCCTCCCTTTTGCATTTTTCATAAAGGTGTGCTTTTAGGTGACCTTCACTTACCCGGAGAGACCCAGTGTCAGCAGTAGAGGGAGCTGTGGGCATTGGGCAGGTGGCTGGGAGGAGCATTTAGAACAGGATTACTGGAGAGAGGTCTTGCTGTGGAACCCCGGCTTAGGTAAGACCTGCACCAAAGTGTCTTGTCCATGTGATTATGGTGTCAGGGCATTTGGGGCAAGGAAGAGATTGGACTCATGCCATCTTTTTGGGGGGTTTGTTTTTGTTTTGAGACAGGATCTTGCAATAAACAGTCTGACCTCAGACTCACGCACGATCCTCCTGCCTTACTTTCCAAGGGTTGGGATTGCAGGTGTGTTTGGTGTAACAGACACTTGTCTTAAGTGACTCTTCTTGTGTAGCCTGTCTGGAAGGTGAGCATCAAGGTTTTGTCCCTCCTGAAGGCTGGGAATGGTGTGGACATAAATGTCAGGACACAACTATCTGTCAGGCTTCCCTTCAGTTCAGTCCTGTTGCCATGTGTCTTTGTGAAAGTGCACTGATGAGTTACATCTTCAGAAGCCCCTGCATACTGCTTTTAAAATTGTCTATGTCCATGTAGAAAACAGCCCTTCAGTGTCCACTGCGTAGGTGGACACTGTGAATCCTGTGAACATCATATCTGACTCTTGAGTTTAAAAATAATTCCCCACTGTGTGTGATTTCTGCCATCTCCATTTGCTATGAACTTGATCATTAAAATTTTTGAGAACATCATTTTGTGTACTTTCAGTGTGTAAGGAATTTTATTCCAGGTGGTTATTTCCTTATTTAACTTTATTTGGTTTTTGTTTTTTGTGACAGGATTTCTCTCTAGCCCTGGAAATTATTTATTTATTCAATTTTATTTGTCTTTTTTTTTGAAACGGGGTTTCTCTGTGTAGCCCTGGTAATTATTTAATTTTATTTATTTGTTTGTTTATTTTTTGGTATTTTCAAGACAGGGTTTCTCTGTGTAGCTCTGGCTGGCCTCAGACTTAGAGATTCTCCAGCCTTTGTCTCTGCCTCCTGAGCACTGGGATTAAAGCATGCTCTACCACCACATGGCTCCAGGTAATTATTTAAATGCTTAAGAAAAACCATCCGGTTCACAACCATCCATAACTCCAGTTCCAGGCCATCTGATATCCTCATCTGGCCTCCATGGGCACCAGGCATGGACATGGTGCACATACATGCATGCAGACAAATGCTCGTATGCCTACAATAAAATAAATAATCTAAAACAATTTTTAAGAAAGAAAAAAAAAAACATCGAAGCTGGGTGGTGGTGGCGGCGGCGCACGTCCTTAATCCCAGCACTCGGGAGGCAGAGCCAGGTGGATCTGTGTGAGTTCAAGGCCAGCCTGGTCTACAGAGCGAGATGCAGGAAGGCACCAAAACTACACAGAGAAACCCTGTCTCGGAAAAACCATGGGAATGAAAATAGCTTTGGAAAGGAGGCTTAATGAATTCAAGGGTCACAGGAACCCTATCAGACACCAGATTGCTTCCCCGTCTGAGGCTGTATAAGGTAGAAAAGGGTGCTGTGTCCCTTTGGGGATTACCCAGAAGGGGGTTATGCACCAAGGAGAGTTCAGGAGTTTGGCTGGATTATTTGGTCTCATTGAATAACCCTGGCTAGCCTGAGATTGGCTGTGTAGACTAGGCTGACCTTGAACCCCTTCCTGCCTCTGCCTCTGCTGGAATTAAAGGTGTGCACCCAGGTTCTAGAGACATGGCTCAGTAGTTAAGAGCATTGCTGGTCTTGCAGAGGACCAGGTTTGATTCCTAGCACAATTCTGATGCCCTCTACTGAACTCTACAGGCACAAGCATGGTGTACATGCATACAAACAAACATGCAAGCACAACACTTTTTAAATCTTAAAAAATAAATTAAAAACAATATGTACCCCCACATCTGGCTGGCATTCACAATTTTTTAAATGCAAACAATGAACCCTAAACTAGTGTCTATGCAAGAGATGCCTCAGTGAGATCAGGGCAACTCTGGTTTTCCCTGTCCTGGCGTGGCCTAGCAAAGAGAACCGGATTTGCTGACAAGTCCAGCCTCAACAGTGGCTAAAATAAGGGGGCCATCTGTACTGAGGGGGAAAACCCATGTGACCTGCAGGGCCTCTTTGGAAAAGCCTTGCATAGTTAAATACCCTGAGACTTTGCCAGGAAAGAGCAGCTGGAGGGCGGGCAAGGTTGCAAGCAAAAAGGAGATGCACCCAGGCATGGGGTGAGCTTGCACTGCACATGCCAGAGCTGAGTAAGCAAAGCCTTAGGAATCAGCAGACAGAGCTGAAATGGACAGACCAGGGCCTAATCTGGGAAGCCTGGGGTTACCATGGTTTCCGGCCCGATGTCATTAGCACAGCCAACAGTCACTGGCTAGTTTTTCTAATACTTTTGAACTTGCTTAGATTCTGGCGTGACCAGCTCTGTCAAGTATTAAAGAGACACCTAACTCCCAGGCATGTCTCACCAAGCAGCCCTGCAAGGTATCTGCTGCTGACCAGGGGATTCTAGAGGAGCTTCTCCCTGCTTTCTAGGAAAGGAAGAGGGGTGGCACCATGCAGACTCTGGAGTCCACATACTAAAATACTTAAAATACACTGTGCCCAGGAGAGCAGGGTTGGAAGGAAGCAGATTGGCAAGGACAAGAGCTCTGAGGTTTTTCTGTGCAGACAGATTCATCTAGAGAAGTAAAGATTGGTGTTCGGGGAAGGAGAGGTCCTTGAGTGTTGCCATTGCAGCTAAGCAGTGAGGACATGTGGCAGGAGGGTCCTGAAAGCAGAGACTCCATCCCGGCAAAGCCTAGACTACCACCTAACCGCCAACTCTGCCTTCATTCAAACATCGGTGAGTTTGTTTCTTTGTCTACAAAGAAGGGTTGAGGGAGTAGAGAAGCAGGTCTTGGAGAGGTCACCAAAACCCATGCTTGCCAAGACCCTTCCAGAACTGCTCTGCAGGCTGGAAAATGTCTGTAGTCATCTGTGACTTGGTGGATCAAGAGCTTAGAAATCAGGTGGTGTAGCCAGGCGGAGGTGGCACATGCCTTTAACCTCAGCACTTGGAAGGCAGAGGCAGGCAGATCTCTGTGAGTTCGAGTCCAGCCTGGTCTATAGAGCGAGTTCCAGGACAGCCAGGGCTCAGGGCTAGATAAACCCTGTCTTCAAAAAAAAGAAAAAAGAAAAAAAAAGCTTGGAAATCAAAGACCTCTGAACCTAGAATTTTAGCCATGAACTCTGATTTGGAAGGTTGAATAAGAACAATGTCTAATAGCCTGGCTAGAGGCCTTAGTTTGTAAATAGGCTTGCCATGCAAAGTGCGAGAGAACTGACCCCAGAATTGTCCTGTGACCTCCATACATGTCATGTTGCACACAAACACAATAACATTTTAAAAAATGTTGAGGTGCCTAACCCTCCCTACAGACAGTCAAAGTGTGTACATTAGATTAGATTTCCTTTGCTGGGACAGTCTGGGCTGCCAGACTCCTGTACTGCTCAATTGTTCTCTCCTTTTTTGGTGGTGCTGACTAAACCTCGCACACACCCACAGGCAAGTGCTTTATCACGGAGCTCTGCCGCTCTGCCAACTGCTACTTTTTCCTTGCTTCATAATGTTTACACACACACTTTGATTTTCATTTATGGTGTGAGTATAGATGCACTTGTACCACGGCTTACAGGTCAGAAGACAATCTCGGGAGTCCGTTCCCCTGCTCCACCAGGGGTTTCGGGTGAAACCAGGTCATCTCTCCTGCACAGCAAATGCTGACCCACCTCTGTAGCCCCTTGACCTTGAAACCTGTCTTCATGATGGACATACGGGTCACTCTTGTGAATGATGCCTTTGTGGATGCCCCAAGTCTCTTTCTGCACCTGTGAAAGTAATCACAGAGAATGTGACTAGAGAAAGGGACTTGCTGGGTGGATGAGTGCACGATCCTGGGTGCTACTCGCTCTGTATTCAATGTTTGGGACTTTGTCCACTTTCTAGGTCTGGTCACATGAGTGTGTTCCCAACATACGAGCATATGGGGTAGGAGGCTGGGCAGGCTTCCCCTAGGTGATCCCTGGGCGTCTCTCTTCATCCACTCTTGTTACTGACATGCTGTGGTTCTTGGCAGAGGGGCGTGTGGAGCTGCCACAGGATCTGACCTCATGCTTCTAGAACTGAGGTAGAGGGGCACACCATGCATAACTAACCTTCTAGTAGTTTTTCCATGTCCAAAGACCCTTTATACAGGAAGCTTTAAGACAGCCTTGCTAGGCAGTCCATGCTGTTCTAGCACTCACTCTAGCCCATGCTAGACTCAGAACTTGCTTCAGTCCTACTCTTTCTGAGTGCTGTGATGAACAGGTATGACCTGGCTTCCTCAGTTACGGAGGCAGCTTTAGCAGCCTGGACAGTGCAGACAAAGACCCTGTGTAAAGGAGCAGCCCCTAAGCTGTGATATCAGCAAGTGACTGGCTTTCTGAGCAACGTTTTTATTGTCCAGGAGAGTAACAGTGACTGTCACCCAGAGTGTCTGTGGTAAAGGCTTTAGTCCCTGTCTAAGAATTTTAGTAACTCCAGGGTTTAGTTTGTTTCTTTGTTTTTGTTGTTATTGTTTTTGAAACAGGGTCTCATGTACCCTAGACTGGCCTTGAATTCACTATGTACTTAAAGCCAGCCTTGAACTCCTGATCTTCCAGTCACATCTCCCAAGTTGTTAGCCATCTGATGTGGGTGCTGAGAGCAGAACTTAGGTCCTCTGGTGCTCAGCAAGTGCGCTTAACTGCTGAGATATCTCTTCAGTCTCCCCTCCCCCCACCCGCCCCTTTTTTGAGGCGGTGTGGAACCCTGGCTGTCCTGGAACTCAGTATGTAGACCAGGCTGCCCTCAAACTCATGGCGATCCTCCTGCCTCTGCCTCCTGTGTGCTGGCATTAAAGGCTTTGGCCACCACACTCAGAAAAATATTACTGTATTTTAAAAATTATCTACAGGGGCTGGCCAGATAGCTCAGCAGGCAGGGGGGATTGCCACCAGACATGATGGCCTGAGTTTCGTCTCTGAGACCTATGTGATAGGAGATAACTTGCTCTTGAAAGTTGTCTTCTGGCCTGGTACACAGGTATCCTGGCACAGATGTATGTGTACACGCATACATATGCACAATAAGCAAATAAATAAATGTAAAGAGAAATTGTTTTCAGAGCCAGGCATAGTAGCACACACCTTTAATCCTAGCCCGTGAAGACAGAGGCCAGGTCAACCTGATCTACATAGAGTTCTAGGCCAGCCAGGGCTGTTACATAGTGAGACCCTGTCTCAAAAAAAAAAAAAAAACCCAAAACTTCTGTTTTAATTATTTGCAAGATGACCTTCATCTCTTTGTAAGGCTGTGGTTCCCCAGAGCTTTGTCAACCCCATGAGCGCACTGTAAGGAAAGACTCGTAGGCCACAGTAGTTCACATCAGTGGTCCCAGCACTTGGAGTCAGAGGCACAAGGACCACAAACTTAGAACCTACTTAGGCTATGGAGTGAGACCCCACCTAAATAAATAAAATAGCTGGACAAAGTGGTACAGGACTTGGGGGTGGGGGAGTGCCAGAGTAAGTGGATCTCGAGTTCGAGGCCAGCCAGAGCAACAGAGAAATCCTGTCTTGAAAGAAAAAAACAACAGGCCAGGCGGTGGTGGCGCACGCCTTTAATCCCAGCACTCGGGCGGGAGGCAGAGCCAGGCGGATCTCTGTGAGTTCGAGGCCAGCCTGGTCTACAAAGTGAGTTCCAGGAAAGGCGCAAAACTACACAGAGAAAGCCTGTCTCGAAAAACCAGAAAAGAAAAAAAAAAAAAGAAAGCAAAGTCCCACACACCCTCTTCTGGTAGCCTTCACTGGTTCACTGGCACATGACCACTCAGGATAAGAAAGAGTAAAGGCCCTTAGGGGGTCAAGGGACCCTTTTCTGGCCTCCCTCTTCCCCTCCATGATCTCCTTGAGGTTCCTAGTACAGGGACCAACCTGCCTCCACTTGGAAACTGAAAGTCCTATGTGCCAGACTCAGTTTAGGGAGGACTGGAAGAGCCGGTCATCTTAGCTCAGCTGCAAGGTATTTTGCCGTCTCAGGGCCTCTGGCCATGCTGCTCTCAGCCTGCATGGCCAGAGAGGTCCTTCAGCATCCCAGGCCCTGCAGCATCCCCGTCTCCTAGAGAGAGGACAAGGCTGAAATAACGTACAAGTATACCCTTACCCCCTTTCTATTTTTTTTTTTTTTTGAGACAGGGTTTCTCTGTGTAGATTTGGAGCCTGTCCTGAAGCTCACTCTGTAGCCCAGGCTGGCCTCAAACTCACCGAGATCCGCCTGCCTCTGCCTCCCAAGTGCTGGGATTAAAGGCGTGCACCACCACTGCCCAGCTTACTCCCTTTCTCAAAGCTAAATGAGCATGGGAGAGCATCCTACCTGGGAGGCGTTCCTGGACAGACATCCGCGGCAGGAAGACATGGCCTGAGTGAGAGACAGCCTGCTTTGTGCTGGGCATGTCCACCAGGCAGAGACGGTAATTTCCAACCAACAGGGCCAGTGTTCCAACAGTGGGTTAGATGTTTTGAAATTCCAGCTGTCCTGAGAATCCGACCTCTCTTTGTGGTCAGAGACTGGCCTAGAAGCCTTTGTTCCCTGGACAGACAGAGCCTCCAGAGGGCTCAGCCTTTTCAGTCTGTCTGGCCAGGTTTGAAAGTCTGTGTGGCCAGCAGCCGGAATTCACTGGAATGCGGCCATTCTCTTGCTGCCATAGGCTTCTGGAAACCTAGGCTTCTCACCACCCAGCTGAGAAGCTTCGGGCAGTCAGCAGGCTGGACAACTGGGCCAGAGGGCAGCTGCTGGGGCTCAGCTCCCCTAAGAGGAACTGTCAGCTCTGTCCTACCGAGTATCCAGGGTCGCCTTTGGAAGTTAGGGAGTCTGCCACCTCACCTACACAGGTGAGGCAGAGAGAGCCCACTGGACCAGGCCTAGAGGAGTTTGGAAGTCAGTCCCTGTCTAAGGACAGTTAAATGTGAACTCAAGTTCAAGTCAGTGAGAACATCCCTGTCACCTTCTGGGCCCAGCTGGGCATGGGCTCTGCATCCAGAGGAGAAAGAAGCCAGGAGCTGACTCGGGTGGGAGTGGGCCTCCAAGTCCAGAATGAGCATACCCCTAAAGCAGGAAGGACCCTCCCACAGGTCCACAGTGGCTGGTGGGTGGAGCCTGAAGGTCAGGTCCTGAGATCTGAGTGGCCACCTCTGGGCATGTGACCAGGCCCCCAGGTAGGAAAGAACAGGATTTTAGTCAGAAGTGACAAGTTCAGGTTTGCATTCCGTCTGTGCTGTGTTTGTTGACTTGTGTCTATAAATCCTCCATGTCACCCAGACACTGAATGTGAAAGTCAGTCTTGTGAATTAGCTCGATCCCCAGAGCCCCTCTGAGAGGCAATGCTGTAAATCCCCTATACAGGTGAGAAAGCTAAGGCCCAGAGAGGTTGAGCCACCAGTCTAAGATGACACAGCCAACAGGAATTTCAGTCCAGATACCCTGGCTGGTTCTGGAAGAGGAAGGCAAGGGTAAGGCTGGGGTCCGTAGCCCCGCAGGGGAGGCTTGAGCCTGGGCCAGGGCAGGGACTGAACACTGAGACATTCTGGAAGCAGAGTGTAGAATGGCGTGGGCAGCTGGTGTGTGGCCAGCCAGCCCCAGGCTGCACTTGTCCCCAGGCTGGGGTGGGTGGATGGGTGGGTGACAATGGTCAAGCCAGCTATGGGACAATAACTGGGCCTCCCCCTCGTGTGGGAAGCCCTGGGCCCTCCTGGCTCTGAGAAGCCTGTTTTCTGCACTGTCCCCATACTATGGAGGGTCCAGGGACCGCTCCACACCGAGACCCATGGTTAAGTGGTTGTAAAGTCAGAGGATTTTTGAAGCTTGAGGTGTTCTCGAGTCCAAGGCAGGATGCATATCCAGGAAAGAGCCTGACTGGGGTCAGAGCACTGAGAGGTGAGGGGCAGGGTGGGCTGGCTGATTCCAGGACAGACGCCTGAAGGCACATGGAGGAAGAATAAGACTGTAGTATCCACTACATGATCCCAGCCTCCTAGCTGGCCTGGGCAAGTCTTTGTGCCCTCTGAGCCTCAGTTTTCCTTTCCATGAAAATGGGGCAACAGTGATAACAGTTACACAATCTTTAAGCAAAGTGAAAGAACTTCCTAGGCTCTCTGTCTGGGGTCTGACCCAAAGAGGGGCCTAGCAAATGTTAGTGTCTGGCATGTGCCAGTCAGGGAGCCAGAGAAGAGGACATACAGGGTCCCTGGTGTAAGCAGGGATAAAAGAGGGAACAAGTGAGGGGGATCCTGTAGGAATGCATGGAAAAGCGGTCATGAGGGCTGGGGTCAGGCATCCTGCAGTGCCCTCTCCCAGGTCAGGAGCAGCCATCTTACTGCAGTCCCAGGACTAGGACAAGAGCTGTGTGGACAGCACAGGATGGAGGTGGAGGGTGCTCTCTCATCCCCTCTTGGAGTCCACCAGCATCAGCAGGCATATTTGTCCTTAGGCCAAGCCCTTCAGCACAGACAAATCTCACTGCTCTGATCTAGACTTCTCAGGATCGGAGAGGGGGAAACTGAGGCTTGAGGAACTAGTGACCATCCTTGGCACTTGCTGCCTCCGGTCCAACTAACAGTGCATGGTGCCTGTCAGAGGCTGCAGGGGTTGGGGAGGGACTGGGGCCTGGCTAAGGCTGTAGAGATGGGCTAGCTAGAGACCTAGTGGTTACCCACAAATAGGCCGAGGCCTCAGCCATGCATCTGACCTTCAGAATTAATACTGAGGGGAGGGATTTGTGCCGCCCACACCGGCTCTGCCATTTACCCCTCCCACAGGAACCAATGCAGAGCACGCTGCCTACTGCCAGGGAATTGGCCTCTGTCCCACCCAGGCCCTTGCCAGGGGTCATCAGAGAACACTGGTCCCTGGACATGTGCTTCCAGAAGGTGGGGCAGTTCTCCTGTTTACCTGGAGCAGAAGTCTGCCTGGAGGTTATGGGGCCAAGCCCGAGCAGGAGCGCCAGAGGGCTGGGAAGCAGCCAGCAGGTTATGTAACAGCACCCTGATGCAACTTAATTTTGAACAGGCTCTGCGGCAGACCTGAGAGGGGCCACCGCGCACGCGAGCTGGGCGGCTGGCATACAGCTGGCTCTACTCAGCTGTCCTGGCATGCAGATGGGCCTCAGACGCCGGGAGGTGAGGAAAGAAACGTTGGTCACCTAACCCTGAGCATCCCAGGGGACCACAGAGGGTCACAGTGAGCCTTACCCGGTGAGAGAGAGGCATGAAGCCCCATGGTGACAGAGGAAAAAACCCACTCCTGGGGCTGGAAAGATGGCTTGCAGAGGACCTGGGTTTAATTCCCAGCACTCACATGGTTAGTCACAACCATCTGCAACTCCAGTTCCAGGCGGATCTGATACCTTCTTCTGTCTTCCATTGATATCAGTCACTCATACGGTGACCAGACATTCATGCAGGCAAAATACTCAAAATATACATAAATCTTTTTTAAAAAAAATTCCCCACATTGTCATCTCCTCGGGGTCATCACTGTCCCTCTGCCAAAGGCCATGCATGGTCTTCTGAGTGAGGTGTCTCTTCTGCCACCAATGCAGTGGCAGAGGCAGCTCTCTCAACCCATTTTTTTTTAAAGATTTATTTATTTATTATGCATACAATGTTATGTCTGCATGTATTTCTGCAGGCCAGAAGAGGGCACCAGATCTCATTACAGATGGTTGTGAGCCACCATGTGGTTGCTGGGAATTGAACTCAGGACCTCTGGAAGAGCAGTCAGTGTTCCTAACCTCTGAGCCATCTCTCTAGCCCTCAACCCATTTTTAAAAGTGAGTGTGTGTGTGTGTGTGTGTGTGTGTGTGTGTGTGTGTGTGTGTGTGTGTGTGCGTGCGTACTTGGATACCCTGGAACTGGAGTTAGAAGCAGTTGTGAAACGTGGGACATGGGTGCCGGGAAATGAACTCCAGTCCTCTGCAAGAGCAATAATCACTCTTAACTCCTCGCTCCTATGAATCCATTGTGTAGATGTACAATCTGAGACTCCGAGACCCACCAGCTACATGGGGCAGGACTCAGAGCCAAGTCCCACCCAGAGAGATGTGCTTTCAGTGGTCCAGCACTTAGGGTCAGGGTTCATCCAGAATGATGGAAAGGAAGAGGTATGCTAAGTGCTGCCAAGGACCCCTGTGGTCTTATTCACAAAAGGCAGTCCAGAGCCAAGGGGACAGCTGCACCCCTTCCATGGGGGCATTGGTCAGCTCTGGCCACCTGCACCTCTTCCTCTTTTGACCCTTACTCAGCGAGTCCTTGCAGTGCTCTGCTGTCCAGGCCCTCAGAAGGCCCTTCTGCCTGTAAGGAAGCAGCCGTGCTTGGCAGAGGACTCAATCTGTCTCTCAGTCTGAGGCCATTGCCCAGCACTGGAGTCTCCAAACACCCTGTACTTTTGTCTGTCCTGTCTCTGGCTCCTGGGCCAGCAATTTCTCATTGGAACTCAGAAAGATCCAGAAATCTGGACAAGGGGAAAGCCTCTGGGGTCCAAGGCTTCCAGCCCCAGGAGGCCCAAGTGGAGAGTACTAGTTGCTTGGTCTACACTCCACGTGGAAACAGAGGTACCTAGAGCCCTGGATTTGAGGTAAGCCTGGGGCTGAAAGAATGGGTTTCCTTTTCAGGGCCACCTGACTTGCTCTGGTCCCTGCTCTGTACCCTGTGATGACCAAGAGGGCTCTGTGGGTAGGTGAGGTTAGGTGATGAGAACCACCCCTAGCTCAGAACAGTGTGGCCCAACTGTGAGAATACGGTCCTGGAGCTCAGCCAGGGCTCTCCCTCTCCTTAGCACTATGTGGCTCTTGGGTAAGTTACCTACCAGAGACATCAGCGACTCCATCTCTGTCCTGGAAGTGAGGTGGGATTAAAGGAGAAACAGGTGAATGGCGCTCGGCATGGTACTAGACCCTGGGAGTGTCTGTCATTACCTTGGCCCTGGAAAAGGCCCAGGTGTCCAGCAGCTTCTGAGCGTAGCTGTTTCACGGTCAGATTGGCTAAGGCTGTGTACTGGGGGCTATTTCTTTAGGTGTGGGGAGCCAGTCCTGATCCACTAGGGTGCCTCCTGCTCTCCTGTGTGGAGAAGTGAGGCAAGGAAGTGTAATGGGTGTGAACACAGAAAAGGTATTCCAGAGGTACGAGCGCAGAAAATCAGGAGAGCCACTGGCCTTGAGGGCAGTGAGGTTGCATGCATAGGGAGTTAGAACCCAAGGAGCCTGCAGCATGGAAGGCTGCCCTGAGCTTGTGCACCAGCAGTCCAGGAGACCGTGACCTCTCAGGTGGGTACACACCAGCTGGATCAGGGCCCTGTGTTTAGTCTGTAGAGGGGTAGGGAGAAAGTTTCTCCCTATTTGGTGGGCCTGCTCTAGGGCTGGCTACTCTGAAATCAGAGGCAGGTGTGGCTCCTCCCCAGCCCAGCTCTGTTCTGCAGCTCTGGCCTCTACAGGAGTGGGCACTGGACAGTCTCATTCCTGAACGCTTAGACCCACATTGTACTGAACACAAGCCAAGACACCCCCAGCATCCCATAGCTTCGCGTTCAGTCCATGTAGATGCTTGCAATCAAGACTCAGGGGCCTGTGCTTGTCCACTACAGCCCTGTGAGGCCAGAAGTCGGGAAGGCAGGCAGGCAGGCAGGCAGGCATGTGCTTCAAATTATTCCAGCTGCCTGTTGGCACCTTAGCCCTCAGCTGGGGGTGGTAGTCTGCCTGGATGGCCATTTCTACCATTCCCCGGCCCCCTACAGCCTGGGGTGACCCTTCTACCACCCTTAGGAAAGCAGCTAGTCCCCTCTGCCTGTGCCCCTCTGTTGCAAGCATCTGATCTGGTTGGGCTGGCTCTGCCACACCCAGGCCAGAGCTCCCACAGACCTGGCAGGCTGCAGAGGTGCAGCAGGGTCAGACAGAGGATGGCTGGGAGCCCAGTGCAGCGTGCCTTTACCACACTGGAGTCTGAATTTCTTTCTTTCCTTCCCCTTCCTCCTTTTGTAGTGCTCAGGATTAAACCCAAAGCCTCATGCAGGCTAGCACACTAACCACTGAGCTCCAGCCTCAGCCTTTTTTGTTTATTTTTTATTTCTGCATGTGTGTGGGGGTGTCTCACATAGCCTTGAACTTGCTGTGTAGCTGATGATGACCTGATCATCCTGATCCCCGCAAGGCTGGGACTGAAGGTCTGAGCCACTGCACCCAGTTTAGACAGTCATGGAAATCAAGCTTCTGGTATTCTACCCACTAGGCAATCATTCTCTGCCAGCTGAACTGTACATCTAACCTCCTTTTGGTATTTTTTATTTTGAAACTGGGCCTCCCTTAATTGCCCAGGGTGGCCTGAACTTGGGGTCCTCCTCCTCTGTTTCCTGAACAGCTGGAGTTACAGGCCTGTGCCTCCAGGCCCTCCTCAAGTCTGGGTTTTTACTGGCCACCTTCCTTGTTGTCACCTAGCCTCCAGTTGGCTTTCAAGATGGACAGTCCTGTGTTAGAATCCAAGTTCTACTTATTTTAATTTTTTTAAACGTATTTTATGTGTATGGCTCCTTTGTCTGCAAGAATATCTGTGGATGACATAAGTGCCTGTTGCCTACAGAGGCCAGAAAAGGGAGGGTCTCAGATCCCCTGGGACTGGAATGACAGATGGTTGTGAGCAACCACATGGGGCTGAGAATGTAACCCAGGTCCTCTGCAGCAGCAAGATGTCTCCCAGACATCTCTCCAGCCCCACAAGCTTCTGCTTACAGCTCCACTTCTCTTTTGTGGGTGGCATGGAGACAGTGCTCTCCTCTCTTAGGAGAGCCTCTGTGGGGCTGCCTTAAACTCATAGTTGGGTTTTTGTTTTGCTTTACTTTGTTTTGTTTGCTTTTTGAGAAGTCTTAACATTTGCATATTTTTACAAATTTCCTGTGTATGGGTGTTTTGCCCGAAGGTATTATACCCCCGATCTTTTAATTTTTATGTACAAAGAGTGACATGATTTCTTTCTTTCTTTCTTTCTTTTTTTTTTTTGGTTTTTTGAGACAGGGTTTCTCTGTGTAACAGAGTCTTGGCTGTCCTGAAGCTTGCTTTGTAGACCAGGCTGGCCCAGAACTCACAGAGATCCTTCTGCCTCTGCCTCCCGAGTGCTGGGATTAAAGGCGTGCACCACCACCGCCCGGCTGCATGATTTCTTTTACTGGGTAGTTGATCTTGAATGACCCAGTCAAGAAAGGTGACCTATTCGGCTGGAGAGATGGCTGAGGGGTTAAGAGCACCGCTTTCCCAGGAGACCCAGGTTCGATTCCCAGACCTACATGGCAGCTCACACCACTGTAACTCCAGTTCCAGAGATTCAGTGCCCTCTTTTGACCTCTGAGAGCATCAGGCACAAGAGGTGCAGAGACATGTATGCAGGTTAAACACCCAGACACAGAAAACAAAACAAGAAAGATGACTTAATACAACTTAATGAAGCCTATGTCCTTGTCCACTGATGGAGAAATACTTCGGGGAATTTTCAGCCTTTATTTTTGGATAAGGCCTTGGCAGTTTCAGAAGACATGGTGAGGGAGAGATCCCAGGGCTGAATTTTTGGGGGTGACTCCAGCAGATCTACGAGGGACCCATCTTGCCTTCAGACCTCAAATGAGGGAAAGGACTGGTTGGGCTTTTTGCTGTTGTTTTAAGATTATTTTTATGCCAGGCATGGTGGTACACACCTTTAATCCCAGTACTTGGGAGGCAGAGGCAGGTGAATCTCTGTAAATTCGAGGCTAGCCTGGTCTACAAAGCAAGTTCCAGGACAGCCAGGGTAGTAACACAGAGAAATCCTGTCTTACAAAAAAAAAATTATTTCTATTAATTTTAATCATGTGCATATCTGCATGCTCGTGCGTATGTTTCAGTGCAGGTGCATACGAAGACCAGAGGTGTGAGATCCCCTAGAGCTGGAATTACAGACACTTGTGAACTGCCTGACATGGGTGCTGGGATTCAAACTCAGGTCCTCTGAAAGAGCAGCAAGAGCTCTTAACTGCTGAGCCATCTGTCCAGCTTCAGATTTTTGTTGTTGGTAGTCTTTTGAGACAGGGTCTTGCCATACAGCCCAGCTGGCATGGGGCTCTGGGTTCTCCTGCCTCCCGACTTCTGTGATTTCAGACTTGAGTCTCCATGCCCAGCTTTGTTGTTGCTGAGACAAGGCCTGGCCTTGAACTCTCTGTCTTCCAACCTATACTGCTGGTTCTTCATTCCTCCAGTGGTTCTTGTCACACACACACACACACACACACACACACACACACACCGCCCCTGTGTGAGATGGAAGCCAGGCCACACACATGCCGCCAGGCCCTGCCCCTCCTCCCATGGCTCTGTTCCCCTAGCCCCACTTTCCCTTGTCCCTTTTCAGGTCTGTCCTGTGGCCTATGCTACAGGAACAGTGAGGCTCCCTGATGATGCTGGGGGTCCTTGGTCCAGGCTCAACCACCCAGGGCTCCTCCACTGCTGTGGGTCACAGGCTGAGGAAGAAGATGATGATTGGGCAGCCTGGTGGAGAGTGGAGAGAAACTCAGAAAGAGCCCAGCCAGCATTGCTGGCCTAGATGAGGGCTTGTGCCCTCTGACTCCCTGGAAACCCTTAGCCCAACAGAGGTGGGAGATCCATCTGAACTTCCGGGAGAGAGCCTGGAGCATGTTCTCAGGGTACCACGGGCATTCCCACAGGTGCCTTCATCCCGCATTGAGAATCTGTGAGCTAGCTGGGGCTGTTCCGGGTCATAGGTCATGATGGAGACCTGGAATTGCTCCTGGGGCAGCACATTTTTCTCCTCTGAAAACTTATCTTAGCAAAGAGACAGGAAACAATTGCACTTTTTTCCAGGCCTCTGCATCCCCAGACGGACAGCCCATCTCCTTGGCGGGGGCTCTGAGGGGGCTGGGAAGGCAAAATGTGTAAAATGTCTGTAGGAGGGGAAGAAAGGCGCTTTGTGTAGGGCAGGGGCCCTGGCCATTGGTCAGATGTAAGGTCCCCAGCCACTCCCAGAATGCTCCTTTCCCTCTCTGGGGAGGGCCATGATTGCCAGCCCAAAGCCGGCCCCACTGGTCTCTGCAGCCCCTCTACACCCTGGCACCACTGTGTCCTGGCCTCAGGGACTGAGGTCCCTGGAGCCACCCAGCCTCTGAAGGTGTGGGCCAGGTAGGGGGCACCCCAGGTCTCAACATGTTTCTTTACTGGAGGAAGCGGGGTACCTATGAGTTGGAGACCCTGCCTGGTGACCTGGCCCAGCTGGAGCTGGGGGCTGTGGAGCGCTTCTCCTGGAGCTCGACTCTGGACATCATCGAGGACTTGGGGGGTATGTGCAGCCATTTCCCCAGAGGACTTGAAGGCAGTGTGGGCACCTGGTCCTGCTGGCCAAAGCCTGCAGCCTGCTTCCCATGCATGTTGCTGAAGACCACTTGCTTGTGGCGGTGTGGGGTCCCTAGCCCCTCTGGAGAGGTACTGCAGGGGGATGGGACGGGCTCACACATGGTGGTCAAAGGGTAGTGAGCCCATCAAGGTGCTCCCATCCCTTCAGGTGGCCAGCTGGGCATGCTTGCCCCTCACTAATCTTAGAGCCTCAGCT